GTAGCGTGGAGTCGAGTCGCTATTGACTATGAACATCATTAAAAGAAGACTACGTGCCAATAAACCAATAAGATCCCCGTAGGCCAATATCAGAAGAAAGATGATGGCTGTAGTCGGGATGTATTTGTTGGCGATCTCGTGGTATCGAAAGAATAACGAGATCGTGCCAAAGGAGTACAAGTGGGATCGGCAGGTGAAAGTACGTGCGTAGAGTCACAAACCGCGCAGAAGTAATGGAGTTCAATGGAAGGCCGAAATGGCTGTCATTAGAACAGTTAACCAAACGAGCACAGTAAAACAATCACTGGTACAATTGATTATAATAATAATTGTTTTCATAGAACCAATGGCGTTCTATTGACAAAAGTAGGTCACTACACCTATATCAAGCTTGTTTACTTCCTCTTCAGCTAGAAGTTGGTTTGTTATCTTCCACAGTAGTTTGTTGCTGATGGTATTCGGTCAACGGAAATTGACTCCGCCTGCAATCCCTTTCGGGGGGCTACTGCCGGTCCCAAGCCGGGGAATGGAGGAGGGTTGGGCATGGGGTTAGCGTCCCCATCCCGTGGAAAACTAACTCGCCACAAAACTCCTGAACAGGCCGGCTCCAATGAATCCACCGGACATAGAAGCAGCACACACAGATCTTCCTATAGATGTCAATCCACCAACGACCGAAGAAATGAGAATGGCCATCAGACAAATCAAGAGCGGGAAAGCAGCAGGACCTGACAATATACCAGCTGAAGCACTGAAGTCAGACATCGAAGTAACTACGAACATGCTTCATCTTCTATTCAAGAAGATTTGGGAGGAGGAACAAGTGCCGATGGACTGGAAAGAAGGACACCTCATCAAGATTCCAAAGAAAGGAGACCTGAGCAAGTGTGAAAATTACAGAGGTATTACACTACTGTCAATACCAGGACAAGTCTTTAACAGAGTGTTACTGAACAGGATGAAAGACACAGTTGACGCTCAACTTCGAGATCAACAAGCTGGATTCCGTAAGGACCGGTCGTGCACAGACCAGATTGCGACACTACGGATCATCGTCGAACAATCAATTGAGTGGAACTCGTCACTCTACATCAACTTCATTGATGATGAGATGGCATTTGACAGTGTAGATAGGAGAAGGTTATGGAAAATTCTTCAACAATACGGAGTTCCTGAGTAGATTGTCAACATTATCCGGAACTCATACGATGGACTACAGTGCAAAGTAGTGCACGGAGGACAGCTGACAGATGCATTCCAAGTAAGGACCGGAGTCAGACGAGGCTGTCTACTCTCTCCCTTCATGTTTATCCTGGTGGTCGACTGGATTATGAAGATCTCTACATCTGAGGGAAAACACGGCATACAATGGACAGCTCAGAACCAATTAGACGATTTAGACTTTGCAGATGACCTAGCCCTCCTATCCAATACACACGAAAAAATGCAGACAAAGACAGCCAGCATAACAACAGTCTCTACATCAGTAGGCCTCAAAATACACAAAGGGAAAACTAAGGTCCTCAAATACAACACGGAGGACAGCAATCCAATCACTCTTGATGGCGAAACTCTGGAACATGTGGAATCATTCACATACCTGGAAAGCATCGTCGACAAACAAGGAGGTTCAGATGCAGACGTCAAGGCGAGGATTGGCAAAGCAAGGACAGCATTCCTTCAATTAAAGAACATATGGTACTCAAAACAACTTTCAACCAACATCAAAGTCAGAATCTTCAATACGAACGTCAAGACAGTTCTACTGTACGGAGCTGAAACGTGGAGAACTACAACAATCACCATCAAGAAGGTACAAGTATTTATCAATAGCTGTCTACGCAAGATACTCAACACCCATTGGCCGGATACCATCAGCAACAGCCTTTTGTGGGAGAGAACCAACCAGCTTCCAGCGAAAGAAGAAATTAGGAAAAGACGATGGAAATGGATAGGACATATATTGAGGAAATCATCAAACTGCAATACGATACAAGCGCTAACTTGGAATCCTGAAGGTAAGAGGAGAAGCAAAAGGCCGAAGAACACATTACGTCGGGAAATAGAAGCGGATATGAAAGGGATGAATAAGAACTGGAAAGAGCTGGAAAGGATTGCCCAGGACAGGGTTGGATGGAGAATGCTGGTAAGCGGCCTATGCTCCTTCACGAGGAGTAACAGGCGTAAGTAAGTAAGTAAGTAAGCGTAGAAAGTTGTTTATCAATACTTGTACATTTTTGATGATGGTTCTTCATGTCTCAGCACTGTACAGGTAGAACTGTCCTGACGTTTGTATTGAAAATTTTGAATTTGATGTTAGTTTGCAGACCTTTGTTTCGAATTCCATACGTTCTTTAACTTTAAGAATGCTGCCCTTACATCTGCATTATATATCGCTTGTTCATCGATGATACTGCCTGGGCACATGAAAGTTTTACAACTCTCCCACGGATTTTCCATTAACTGTGATTGGGTTGGTGTACGCTGTATTGTATTCGAGGATGTTGTTTATTTCTTTGTGTATGTTGAAGCCTACTGATTCACAAGCTTCTGCTACACTGTCCGTCTTCCCTTTCATTTTTCGTTGTATATAACATAGAAGAGCTAGGTTAGCTGAAGAGTCCAAATCGACTAGATACGTGAAAGCTTTCCATTGCATTCCGAGATTCTCCTGAGGTGATGTTCACGATCTTCTAGGCCAGTGACTTCGTGGTATCGATAAAGGTTCTGTAGTGGGCTAGGGATAGAATAATATATTCAATGTGAAAAGTAATAAGTTACGCACAATGACCATGTCTGCAAGATTGGGCCATGCCATCTCCCATAATGACATGATTGTTCCCGCGTTCACCATTCTCGACTTCTATCAAGTGTTACATGTTGAATTTCAATCTTCTAAGTGATTATATGTTCTTCCTCGAGGATCATGTGGTTGGAGTTGATCTTTGAAATTATAGTTTAAACAATAAAATAAGATGACATGTAGGTTCTTTCCATTAATTTCAAGGGACAGCTTAATAGTTCACATGTTTTATTTTCCTGAAGGTTTTGATATCGAATAAATTATCATTTATAATATCATTCTCCACATCTCACCCCTTATTTTGTACGGTTTTTTCTAACGCTGCTGACGACTTTTAAAAATAAGTCCACTGCTGTTCATTGAAAAATTAGACTTCATTTTGAGGTCAAAATTTATTTCCCTTCAGTAGGAACCTATCTGTACAACTTTGACCATTAAAAACAGTTTAAATGGTTTTAAGTTGAAACCAGTGTCGCCGTCAAATTACCACAATTCTGAGGACCTATACGATGTTTTGAAGCATCGTGAGTCCTTTTTCACTTAAGTGTTTTTTATGCTGTCAGTAGCTGACCTATGTTTCAGGACATAAACTCTAAGGCCCTCCACTTTATGTCACTTGTTTATGCATTGAATTGAATGCAAACCTCAATAACTATGTTCTATTTGCCTGGTTTCTTAGCTTATGAGCCTTAAGTTAAATGTAAAAATGTCGCGGATATATATTGTTTGACAACGAAGTTCTCGGAAACGTCTATCCTAATCGAGGATTCCAGAACCAGCTTAACCAGAAGTCAGGAACAAAAGGATCTGGAACTCCATTTGAAAAAAATGGTTGAGGGATCACAAGGCAGGTCAACCAGTCAGTTACAACGTAGGACCAGACACACATATGCATCGATCCAAGTTGCCAAACCTCATTAGCACAGCAAGACGATCAAGGGATTCATAGAAGCAGTTAACTTAATGGTGTAATATATAAAGGCAGGTAATTTATGCTGAATACTTGCCGTAAGAGATGCTCAAAACTGCATGCCCAAAAGTGACCTAGTGTGGATATTTAACCAAGCACATTCAGCTAACAGTGTGCTCGGTAAAATTAATAAGACTAGCTTCAGTGTCAAAGATCTACCAAACTATTAATTTCCGGGACTTGTATACCACTACAGTTAATTACACAAATGTCTTTACAGTGAATCTATCACGCTCTCTAGAACTCTACTAAAGATGACTGTCAACGAAGAACATGCATTGAAGGTATTGATTCGCGTTTAACTGCATTGAGATTCCTTTGATTGGCGCTACGTTGACGTCGAGTGACGTTCATTCAGGCATGAATTTCAAGTCATCGCCTGATGTTACCGTGGATTTTAAGTGTCATCGCGGTGTGGGTTGAAATAGTTTTAAAAAAATGCAGTGATGTCAATCTACTCATTGTCAAAAAATAAGAGAGCAGTGTTGAAGTTAAGAAAATAGGAGCTGGTCAGTGAATTATTGCCAGCGGTTTGATCTTACTATTGGGACAAAATTTGTTTCCGATGGAAATTCTTTTGTGACTGAACGACTAATTGGCTTATAAACAGTCTAATTATTCCGTGCATTAGTCATGTCTTATTCTTAAGACTAGTGGTAGTAATAATTCACATTTGTTAATGCTGATATGATTTTACTGTGTGATGTGCTTCCATGGGATAATCTTATGCCAAGTAGAAAGTTCAGTTGTCTATGAAAATCTTGATTCACTTATTTATTTTACTTTCGGTAGCTTCGAAAAATGCAAATGATTTCCAGAAGCTAATAACCATATTTAACAAAGAATTATGACAAACATTAAGTTTTTATTCCAAATTATTGCTTAGATGAATATACCCGTTGAAATTAAATTTGAAGTGGCTGGAGTGCTTAGATCTTTCACGTTAGCCGAAAGACTATTATTATTTCCATACATCTCATGTCAACTAAAATATCAAAAAGGGATGCTTCGCTGCGTCCAAGTTTCCCGAAATGCCTACGTATTGATTGCTTTATATTTAAGAACTTACAAGTCAAAAGATGCGCAGGTGTATAGTAATGTGAACTGATTATGAAGACAGCGTCCCTTATTAATATTTGTAAAGTAATCTGTATTCGAAAAAAATTTAAATTAGATGCTTTAAAAAAGTTATAGAACTACTATATATCATGTAAAAGTTAAGATATGTATTAATTAAAGATATTTATTTATAGAATCAGATTATTATTTTTTTAGTACCACTTTCTACTGAACAAACAGACGGTAATCTTGTTCCCGGAATTTCGGAGCTGTTCACATTAGAAGTTATTTGACTTTTGGAAAATACACTGAGCAAATCGGATTCCAGTGTTTCTAACAAAAATACCATATATTGCTAAAACCTCCATGTTTGAAATCAGGACTCAGGTTTATTGCTATTACTTACATTTCTCAACAGTGTGAAGATTAACAATATACCCAATGATTTAGGGGCTGAATAAAGGTGATTTATCCAATAAACGACAAGAAAACTAATTGCCCCATAGTTCCTCAACAACATAGATTGATGCTTACAGTTGAGACAGTTACAAAACTTGATATCAACTTTAATAATATTTTAAATCGACTGAACAAGGATTTTTGTGGTCAAGATGTTAATGAAATCATGAAGTGTCAAATAAGGAAGATCTTTACGTCTTTTGCAACTTATTCGATTAAATCGGTTAATCTATGCCAATGTGAGAAACTGTCTAACTGAAAAATACTTTTTTTTTAATTATACAGAAATACATTGAAGCCCATGATATAAGCGCGATCTCAACGTACACAATAAAAAACGGTATTTCCAAAATAAACGTATACTACCATTGAAACTGTATAAAAAGAGGAAGAGAGAGTAACAGTGACAAAGAAAATTGTGACAATAATAAATCGAGGAAAAAAACCCATCATCACTTGTCTTTAGTCAGTTAACAAAATGTTTAACAAAAGAACTTCAGTAAGTGAACCTTTCAGCGTTTAGTTAAATGCGTTATATAATAATACTAACAAAAAAAGAGGAAAACACTTCACATGAGATGACTCGAAAATAATATAACAGAAGCATTGAGAAATAACTAATCAGTGTATTGTTAGAAGAGAACAAAACCAACTGATGTATATTTTCTAACTTATAGATGTTAATAGAAGTAGTAGCAGTAATAGTAATGATAGTGACAATAACAATACAATTATGTAATAAAATATGAAAATATACAAATTTTATGTTAACTTTATAACCATTACTAAATTGTTCCCTGACTGATTGAAATTATCATTGTAAAGAGTGGTAACATTAGTATATTCATAATTAAAATAAGAATTTTTATAATTAGGATTTGCATGGTAGTATTGGGTTTTATTTTTAAAAAAGGTTTGATCGACTTTACAAAAAGTGAATAATAATGGTAGAAAAGAGAAAGGATTACCTAAAAACATAATTTAATTTAGATAATATTTTTTATCCATTCGCACATTAGATAAGTACACTTTTGAAGTCTTCTTTAATGACTGGAAGAAGTTATTACCTAAGACAAAAAAAGGAAAGAAAATAAGGTAGATTAAGTTTAAACTATATTAAATTTGTGAAGGTTTAATTCTTGTTGTTGTTCATAATGAGAACTTTTCAAAAACGCACCTGAATAGATTATAAGACAAATATGCATAATGATGTGTTACAACAAACAAAAACAGATAACTTATTGAAATATCTAGATGACAGGAACAGGTAACCCGCCGCTTACATACGTTAACGTTCCATACACATATCACTATTTTGTGGATGATATCGGTCCTTATCTTTAGGTTAGTCTAATAATGATACGATTCAGTTCAAACGTTAGCTATAAAAAAACTCATTTCAATTGTTAAGATCAAATAGAAAATCATGAACAAATACTGTCTGAGATTGTTGAAACAAAAAAAGCTTATAAGAAGAAGAATTTGTGTGAATGGCTCGATTTGTCTTCGGTTTTTTAACTATTGGTCTCCTTTCCAAAGACGATCTAAGTTACAAGAAAGACATTTTTCAACTGTGTATATATACTTGGGATATATATATATATATATATATATATATATATATATATATATATTCGATACCAATTTTTGTTCAGCTTAAAACTAGTTGTATTCAGAATCTAGAACTTAGAAGTAGTATAGTGCATCACACAACTCGAAATGGCAATAAAAATCAAATGTCATTATATTGAACAATATGCAAAGAAAAAAGTGTAAAACAGTTGGAAAACTCACCAACAATCTTTAAATAAATGAAGGAAGTGTTTAGGGTTCGGATTCTTGTGAATTTAAAGATTTTGACAGATCTGTACAAATATTAGTACGTCGGAGAACATTGGAAAACGAATCTACAAAATAAGAAAACAACAATAAAGAAATAAAAAAACACATAAAGAGATGGAGGTAGCAAAAATCTCAGAAGTGAAAAATGATTAAGTATTTCCTTATCCTATATTTTATTAATAAATATATATTTTGTGACATCTCAATGAATGGAAAATTGTATTTCTGACGTTTCGTTAATTAATATAAACCAATGCTTCAGGGTAAATAAATAACCGAAATAAAATTAACACGAGTTTATTAATTAATTTTCAAATCACTGCTTAGTTTATTTAAAACTATAGAGTCTAACCTTGACATCGATACCCACAAACCTATGTATTATTATTATTGTTATTACTGGTTGTACACATTAATTGCTGCTTACATAAAAGCAATCGAACTGACTACCACTGTGGTGTATGTTACTTATGTCCACATAAGTAGTGGAAAATACCAATCAGAAGTGGAAGGCCTAGTAACAGAAGGTTGGGAATATGGAATCGAAGAGAACCGAAAAGGAGAGCAATTGTTATGGCGACGAAGGGACAATGAAGTTTTAAACAATTGATGGAGGATTTGTAGATGAAATATTGAACGTATTGTTTTCACATTTTACAAAAGAACTCTGTAGTTTTGTATTAAACAATATAACGGTTGTTCCCATCTGAGAGTTTTCGTTCACTTCGGCTCTGATGTAAGATAAATCTAGATACACAAACTAATCGTATTTAAAACAGACTGGAGTTCTGTAAAAATATGCATACTTATGAATTATCATTATAAGGAATTACTGAGTAAACGTTCCTATATAGTAAGTATTTAACGATAAAATGGAAGTTCAAGTACATCAGAATTAAAATAAATGGCATTCAATAAAAGCATAAAAGTATACTCCATTGAATAAAACACTATAATTGATGAAACTATATTATTATTATTATTCCAACTTAGGATTTGACATTTCATAGATGACTATCAGTGATTTTTGGACAACTTAAATGTAAAGAATGTAAGTAAACTTTTTGGTATATATACCATAAGAACTCTAAGCTATTTACTAAATAGACTCTACTCATTAAGCAGTTTATAGTTAACCATTATTTGGTGATAAGATCAAATAGTAAATCGATAACTTCAATAGAATAGTACGTTTAGGCATTTTCAGGAAGCTACACCATCACATGGAGTGATATTTCATTTCAAAGATAAATAAACATCTTAAAGAACAGAATTTAACTCATTTACAAGTACATATAAACATGCTCTACTTTCATCACAATGTTTTTGTGAGGGCTTGTGATTACAAAATGTAGGTTAAATTGAACTAACTACTAGAGGATTCAGACCTGGACCCCAGCTGCTGAAAAACAACTACTTTAAAGACAAAACTATCATATTTTGTAGCAATTCGTAATTCAGCAATATCCACAAATTTGTACTAACAAATTATCATGTGATTATTGACGACTAACCTCGATGATTTTTTAATCAGAAGCAGTGACTAATACACTTCAGCCGTTTCACAACATGTATTGGATGACGAAAGCGTAAGTTAGAAATATAAATCACTTGATGCTAACTCAGTGGTTTAAACACAAAGTGCTCATCAAGTGGCTGTGGATACTCACTGCTGTGGAGTCCTGAGTAATAGGGAGAAACAACTGTCCTGCGCTTCTCAGTTTACAATCGTTCTGTAACTAAAGCTGGTTCGTGATATATAACTATGGATTCAACAACTCATATTAACAAATTAAATATTCAGTTTTATTTTGTGATATTAATATATTTGTTACACGGATAAACTTTATAAACTCACTATCTGAAAGTCCTGGTAGTTGATAACCACCTACTGGTTTACGTGAAGGTGCCATTTGTGTTGAACTGGCTTTTGAATCTACAAAACTGCTAGATGTTAATTTCGACTGACATGAAGAAGTTTGTTTTTCATTTGAAGAGGAACGATGGAACATAAATGAATGTGGAGGAACGGGACGTGGAGGTTGAGATGTATTAGATATAACATTTGATGATTTATTCAAGCAAGAATCATGGTTTTTAGAATCTAAAAAGGCAAGTTAATCAGAGCGTGGACTTATTAAAAGATACAAATAATAAAAATATTTAACCATTTTTCAGTATTTATATGCCTATTAAGCAACGATATTTGAAAGCAACAATTTCGTATTCATTGTTGTGTAGGGAAACTGTTATAACGGGACAAGTATTCCAGATATTGGAACTTTTGGGACTATTTTACGACAAATTATTATGTGTTTTTATTGTAGAATTATTTAGTAAATAAATTATATATTCCCTGTACTGTAAACATCCTTTGAACTTATCAAGTGATGTTATACGATTTATTATCTCTTAATTATTGTTAATTAATCATGTACCCTTCGCTCAGTTCTCTGCCAATCATGGCAAGATTACATGTAAAAAAAGGACTTCATATTTGGACTGTATTGTGGTCTGATAATTCATGTACATAAGCTAACGAGTGTTTGAGATAAATATAATACTGTGGTGTATGTTACTTATGTTGACAGACATAAGTAGTATGTGAAGTGAAACGGAGGAAATCGAAAGCAATTCAGATAAAAACAGGAATGAAGGAACCATTAAGCTTGCAAGAGAGAATTCAAAGATGTGCAAATGATGTATGATTTTCATATTTTACTAAACCACCGTATGATTGTTCACTAAACAATAAATTGGTCATCTCTACCTGAGTGTTCGTTCACCAAAATACTACTACTGCACTAAAGATTACAATGTTCTATCGAACTGAAAACTGGACTAAAAGAAGGACATACTTTAAAAAGGATCGGTAGTTTACATTTATCGAGGCTAAAGTTCAAGGCTAACCTTACTAGTCAAAGCTTAGGACGTTAAAAAAATTCGAAATGGTACTTACGGAGGTAAAGAGATTATCATTAGGATTTCCAGTTATGAAATACCTCTTGAGATAGGGGTTAACTAACAATTAAAACAGAAATTTAGCCGAGAAGAAGCATATTACTTGAAACACTTGTGTTCATACATAAGTCATGACATAAAAACATTCATATTGGTGTCTGGTAAATATCCTCTACAATCAGTTCATTTATACTAGACTATTGAATGTATCACCTAAAGAAAAATCACTACAAATTAAAAAAATAATTTCAATTATAACGATGAAACTTACTAAAAGGATTTGTGACCGATGGTACTTGAGGTTCAGTTCTAAATGTAAATTAATGAATACAAGGAACATCTAATCTCATATCACATCAACATTTGAGGAAAAAACCCACAGAAATAAATATAAAATTCATACTTTCTTCCTACTCATTGTCATTACATAACAGTAGAAAATTCAACAGACTAGAATAAGTGATTGATAGGTACACTACTGATTAAGTGATCACCGTTATAACGCTCGATTTTCCACGTCTACACGAATGGGACGTTAATTTGCCTTAGACAAACGCCTACACTAGATTCCTTCCCAGTGTCTATTCCACAGGACTTTGACACAACTCAGATCAATAAAACGTGATTAACTTGACCAGAGTGTAAATATATTTCCACACCAAAAACCGACAACAATCAATCAATAATAATAAGGATAAGAGAATATATAACTCATTTAACGCCTGTCAGACTATCTACAAGTCTGACTAAGCAAATAACTAATCATTATTATCTTCGCCCACACATCAATCACCTAATACGGTCCGACTTAAAGTCACACAATATGACTAGAAAAATAATAATTGACTTTACAATATCTATAACAAGAGAAAGTACAGAATTTTAATGAAAAAAACGAAGGAGAAAAAACTGCGAAAAACCAAAACCAAAATTGCATTTCATTAACCCGATTAACTAAAAACAACAACAAATAAACGATTCATCAATCGATTGATCCAAATCAAGGCGAGATTTTATGTTATCAGTTTCATTCTTTCTACATTGCAATATACATTTTGTATAATTGACAACTTATATATTAGTTTCTTTAAAAAATAGTCATAGTGAGTCAAAAAGAGAAACTTTTTCGAATATCGTCATGTTTATTCATATCAGTATAATTTAATATAGCAACATGAGAAGTAAAAGTGTCTGGAGACAGTATAGTATAGAGGTGAACTTGACCGTGACAAAATTTTAAGTGCTAGTTTCCGACCAATTTGAAAACAACTTTTATAAATCGATAGTTTTCGGAAGAGAGAAAACAATAATATTGCAAAATGTAAACAGGTTTCACATAAATAATACGTTAATTAATGTCTTATGTTGGCTACCCTACCCGTAAATTAAAAAAAGAACAATATGTAGACTCGCTCTAACGGATATACATTGTCCGTAAAGCGGAAACCTTAAAGGGACCATTTTTAATGTTTTGAACGGCATACAAAGGTATTTCTATTGCTCGTCATACATAATAGTTGAATTTCGCGCAAAGTCTTAAAAGTTACGTTCTCAATTTTGATTGATTGGTCCTTGTAATATACCTTTGCCAAAAATTATACACACAGAAAATTAACTTACAAAGAAGTAGCAAAGGGTCCATGCAATGAGGAGAACGGTGAATTTATCTAAAAAGGGAATCAAAAATAAATATACCCGCTTATACTATCAAAAATAGTTACCAGTAGTAGACTCAAAGTGAGTGAAATTAGGTATCATGAATTTGAGAATTAAGTCAAGTTAAAATAAAAATATGATCGATATAATTCAGAATAGCATAAATACATATTCGGTTACGTATCAATCACATAGGAGAGAAAAATGAATAGAAAAAATCCTTCAACTTATCATATATATCACGATGATGTATAGGAACATTATACAAACAATTTGATAAGCATAGTGATTCACGTTTTGTGACACAAGCGATCAGAAACCATAAGTAGAAAAAAATAAAACTAATTTACTAAGCAGGGATAGAACCCCTAACTCAGGGTCTGAAAAGTCGGAAAAATGAAAATTTCGCAAATACGATAAAAATGATCTTGGTGGCCTAGTTATTGTATTACGAAACCAGACAATGGGTTTTAAGCGTTATTTAAGCCCTAACGATTTAGGCTGGGCTATTTCGCTTACTACTCTACATATGTGTTGTATGCAGTATAAGCTATATGGTTATGTAGAGCTGAAGGTTTCATATGAGACTGGAGGTTCTCCATTGGTATTGTGGATGGTTCGGTATTGCTTTGGCAAGTTTTGCCGACTGTTCATGCACAAAATTGGTTTGTTGGTTAACCGATTTCATTCATACTGGTGGTTGCTTTTCAGTGTTCTCGAGGGCCATTGTATGGCATGTCTCCATTGCTAACCTTAATGAGTTTGACTGTCGTGTAAGCGGAATAGGTCAACTTTTTCCTGTTCGTACTGTGCATAACTGATTCACGCGATCATTGATCGGAATAACTATACATGTGATGTGTATATGAATGGTGTGAATGGTCCACCAGGGTGCTTGGTACCTGTGTGGTTGCGCCACAGGATTGAGCTGTACTATTCAGATTGTAGCGTTAAAGCCTAGACGGTGTCTGGCTCTCCTGTGGAGCGGGATCGAACTGTACTGCTCGATTTATAAAATTTAAGCCCGGAAGGTGTCTGGCTCTCCTGTTAAACGGGATTGGGCTGTACTGTCTGGGTTGTCACATGAAAGTCTAGTTCTCCTGAAAACCAATGTAAAATTACATATTAATGTGAATTTACTCAGCATTTTCTAAACAGAGTTAGTTAATTCTGATTAACTAAATCTGGAAATTACAACGAGAAGACAATCGATTATCAGGTAAAAATTAATTTGAAGGAGACAAGTTTTACAATTGAATGATCACTAGGTAATGATCAGTATCATATATATCAGGTCCTTCTTAGTACAGACTGAATTCTACCGACCAAGTTTTAAACATGAACCATACGTTTGTGTGAATTTTCCCATCAGTAAATCATATCTTTCCAATAGTGATAAAACTGAATAGTTCACGGAGTAGTTGAAAATCAGAAATCCTCATCATTTGAAAATCAACAGAAAAAAATAATTTGAAAGAGGTGAAATATAATGAAGCAGACATAATCCAGAGTTTATATACATGTTTATTTATTTATTTTAACACATAAGTATAGGTACAAGGAGGCACCAAGTATATATGCGCCACACGAATCTCAATTGATTTGTGTGAGGGCTGTGATACTGCCCGGGTGCCCAAACAGAAGCAGGTTTATATACATGTAAGCCTGATCTAAAGAATAGTAGCCCATTTTTTCTTGAATATAAATATCTTACTCTTCAAATATACCTTAATACAAATTTATGTACAACTAAAAAGCTAACAACTGATTCACATCAAAAAACAACTTGGATCTCATTCATATGATAAAGAAAACAACAATGTATTCAATTCATATAAATAATATGAAACTAATGTGTAACTGGTTAACAGTAGAAGACATAACATAAATACATAACAAATCATATTTAATATTATATTTTAATCTGATAGGATTGCATTGATAGAGATTATCAGTAATGTATTTCAAAAACATGCTAATTAGGAAATAAATGTAAGATATATCGACAGATGTTTATCGCCTGATGAAATCCTGTACAAAATAACGGATCGATTAAAACTAAATAATAATAATATCAAAACCATATTTGTGAAAGCAACCATTTACTGCTCGTACTAAATAATCAATCATATCATTTGCATAGACAGTTATTAATAATCAACTTGGAAGTAGGTGGGCTTATTGTGTGCAAAAATGTTGAGTGAAATACAGTAATAGCAAAGCATATATATATATATATATATATATATATATATATATATATATATATATAATGCTTGAAGTGATAAGCAAAAGAAGTTGTGTTTGGAATGAATGAGATAAATCTAACACCTGAAAACAGAATAATTAAAGGATCGAGTTAACGAGTCCCAAACAAGACGAATTACGCGTTTTGGATTCCATCTCTGTTTAAAATGCTTGTGACTTAGCGGCAATACTGAAGCAGTCCGCGAAAGAGATTGGTCAATTGCAGTCCTAAATATCAATGGGAAGATACAAACAATCAATACACATAAAATGTTCTTTTTCTGGTTTACAAATGATCTTACTATATGTCTGAGAAATTATCAGAACAATCAGAAAACTTGTGGGGTATAGAAGACGGTAGTTAAAACGAAGTGGATTGATAAATATCAATTGACGTTCTTAAACAAATAAATACAGACAAGACACAAAGTTGTCATTCAAAGGTAATTGATTTAAACATGTAGTTGAATGAAAGTCACTTAATATGTCAACTAGAATGTTTATGAAGTACAAAGAGAGCGAAAGTACAAATTTGTATGGGTGAAATGAGACACTACACAATGAGTATGTATGCCATAGAAAGAGTAAGATAAAGATTGAATAATACCGACTTATCAACAATAATTCTTGACTAATCTTACGTAATACTTTAGATCAGTAATATTTAACAAATTTAGTTATTCGTAAAGTGGTTCACTGCAATTAAACTAAATATGTCATTTTCATCTTATAAACTAATCATTATTGAATATAATATATTCTGACAATTTCATTCAATTCATTATGAAATCATTATCCTTACTAACAATAACTATATTGTATATAGAAAATTTAAAAATTTTTCTCCAACTAACAGAATGTTATTGAATATGATTTTAAAGTTTATTTTAACTATATATTACTGATGTTGACAGTTTATATGAAAGAATCTTCAGGTGCTGTTATCTTTTAAGAAGTTATGAGTCTATAAAAAGACTAAGTCATGTGAAATAATCAATGTTCATGATAGAATCATAGCAAACTGTAAAATTATTTGATGGAACATTTATCATACTTTACATTAGGTCTATTAGAAAGAACATATTTTGATGTTAGATTTGTAGGAGGTGGTTATCAAATATTTTTTTTTCGTAAGTTAATTTAATACTTAACTCATTTAACGAGAATCAACACGATACGTCATCTTGATTAAGGAAAATATGGTATATAACTATCGGCACTTAAACGCGCAAAAACCCAGTCATAAATTAACAGACAGCAGTAGCAGGAGGAGTGGTTGTTGGGTAAGCGTCAAAAATGTACAGAAAACCAGAGGTATTTGTAGTTTTTAGTACTACAGACAATCTTCAAGTATGAACTTATTTAATTGTTCGATCATAGCATGTCACGTAGATATTCTAGAAAGTTCCCTCAGGTTCTGATTGGGACGAATCTCTTCGGCTTTGTCGTGCTTTATAGGAGCCGTCCCAACACAATAATGTACATGTTTTAAAGCTGAATAATAATTAATATTGAAAAATTTAGTACTTCGGCTTGAATATAAACAAGATTAATTTGTTTAAACTGGGATTTACAAAAATGATAAGCTTGTGCAACTATACAAAATCTAATCAAACTCAAGAATGGCTAACTTAGGAGCAGCCATTTCATTGAGATAAAAAATGATCGGAACCTATAGAAATAAGATTAAATCATGTTGCTCAATTTGTAGTATTGCCCTAATACAACAGTATATATCAAGTTTAGTGTATCAATTTATCCAATAAGTGCTCATCGACAGGTTTTCCCATGTTTGTGAACAGATATGAAACCATATAGATAGAATTAATTGGATATTCTTAGAACTAGTGTAAACGAAAACAGTCATGAAATAACATACTTATCACATGATGAACAAAAAAAACTGGACACGAAAGAAACATATTGGGATATAGAGAAAATTTGGTAAAGCAATTCAAACAAAGAAAAATTTCGTTTCATCTCAAGAAAGAATTTCCTATTGAAATAGCTATTCAATAAATAATAAAAGCAATGTTTACACATACATGTCATAAGATGAAAAAAAGATGTGATGCTTCAATTGAATTTGAATTTCGCATCAAACAGTTTGTGAAATTCGAAACAAAACAATATATATAAATAAGGAAAGAATTAAAGCATTTTAAAATGAATAAATGATTTGCGATTAAGTTTCTGATGAAACGACAGGTCTGAAAGCAACCTAACGAGTTAGAAACACAAAGGGATTAACGTGAACATAGAGATTGATGGACATATGAAATATATCAATAAATAAACAAAATACACATAAATCGGGAAGTTATTTTGAAATGAAACTCAACGAAATTATCAATCAGAAAATTAATATATATATATGCAATGTGACCACTGGTTGAAGTCACTGGTCATCACGTGCAATATGTCTTGACATTAGATTGCTGGGCTATTAATTAATTATGGAAAAAAAATTACGAGTTAATGGAACTAATGACAAGATAATATATGACCCTGTTACCAATGTGTAGTGGGATTTAGATTCTACTAGAAATAAGTAAAAATGTTGATAACAATAAAAGTAAAGTTCTAAAAGAAATAATTAGAAACTAGAAATAAACAGTAATATATAAAGAATTAGAAAAAAATTGAAAGATTTATTAGTAGGTGCGTATAGAGCAAATGACAATTAGGCAAGTATGTGTATTCTATTTTACAACTACTACAATCAGTGACGATTTATGACCTCATCAGTTGATTTACAAACTTTACAGAGTGTTCTAAGCTTAAAATTAACTATGCTTATTAAATAATCGAACTGTACTCCATGATTCTAAGACATCGAAATAAACTAAAGCCACCAAGAAAATAAATGAACAAAAATCTCTCAGCGATGAAGTGCTAAAATGCGCTTAAGTGAGTAGGCAAACTGAAGCTAAAGAAAAATGATAATACTAATACGTGAGTTAGCACAACTTACGTGTAAGTATACAGACGTCTACAGATGTATGTACACATGTAATATATGATTTATTATCGTTCAAAGAAGTTCGTTTATTAAAACATAGAACAGTTATAATTTTAAAATTAATCAAACTTACAACAATTTTTGTAGGTGGACGTCGACGAGCTAAACCACCCGAACTAACAATTCGAGTTCGATCTTCCACTTGTCTAACAAATAATGGTACTTCTACGGTAGTTGAATAACAGTCATGTACAACATTCACAGGGTTAACAGTAGAACCATTCACTTTAACTTTATCTTGATCATCAGAAGAATAAGGTCCATATACTGACGCCTTGGGACTAACACGATTTGGAATTGAAACTATAGATTCATCAGTGTCAGTTAAACCAAAACATTTCTCCAATACAACATCTATGAATTCAATCAGAAAAATCAAAGTGGAAATATTCTATTTCAATACTTTTGCTTAAAATAATACAAAACTCATTCAGTTAAAGCATTCTTTTTTTTGAAAAAAAATTAAAGCAAGCAAAACATTTTCAACATATTATCATCATAACAATATTTGCAACAGAAAGCCATTGTTTTTTCCATTTAAAAAAAGAGAACTAAAATTTCTATCATGCAACACAATGCAAAATGGTAATATCAATTATATATTAGGGAATCTGTTTTCAATTACACATGGTGATTTTGATTTTCTCTTTCTTAATATTGATAAGATATCAGTATAATTCATAACCAACGGTTAGTGTTCAGTGATCAATGTGCAATAATCATACATATATCTATAGAAATTTCAACTTATATTCAAAAGAAAGTATTTAACGAAAAATTGCATAATTAGAAAACAAATGGTTCAGGAATTCTAGTATGAAAAAAATTTCATAAAACGGTAAAAAATAACTAGCAAGGTGAAAGAGATAAACTAAAAAAAGGAACAATTATAGAATTGTTACGAAGTAGTAGTAATACTATAGCATAATTGATTGGTTAAAGCAATTGAAATATTCCAGAGATGAGAAATATGATGTGAACAATAGATGGAAAAGCATTTGAAACACATCTACTATATTCTAAGGTCAAATGCTTTTTTTCAATTAAAGGTCTATATAAATTTTTAGAGAAATTCTACAAAGTTATAGGGAAACACGACATTGAACTCATCAGTTATTTAAGTAGACACATAAATTAGCATTATGTTACTCTATATATTTAATGTAAGCTTAGACGTAATTCTGTATTTAACAAGATTTTGCTAAAACGTATTACCCCCAATTAATCTAGTTATTATCATAGATCATACAAAATTCAGGTATAATTCATCATTGATTCCTATTCTAAATGAATAAATTGATTTTATAATATAAACATTGCAAATATATCACTTTTACTATTAGAAGTACCGATTGCCCAAGGATAATTTGATGGTGAGATATAAATATTGCGGAAATGCTACTTAGGCGATTTGTATTCATGAATGGATAGTCTGAATAGGGATATGTCTCAGTTACGTTTAATAGTTAAAATCACGTACTGAGTACAGTTCGCCTGCGTGAAAGTGATTTTTTTTCACACTATAGAATTCGAGCATTATTCTTAGTTATTCTAACACTTGGTGTATAACTAAAATGTAACTCTGTTGACCGAATTTGTTAACGCTTACATGACAACATAAGTCTGAAAATTGTGGATTCTGAATAATAATATTAGTGAAATTCAGTAACCAACGTATAAATTTGTGTGGTCGTTTATAATAAATACTGATACTACCCACCTGCCAAACCCATTATTGATGTGATAAAGCTGTGGCCCAAAAGTTGAACGGATTACCAAGAAAATCTCTGTTTCATCTGAGATGACTTATACATGAATTCAAATAAATAATGAAACAATTGTCCAAAGTATTGTTAATCAGTCCCATTAAATGTCAATACTTAATATTTACTGAACTAAATGAACTGAACGGACAGAAATTAGCAGTAAATTCACCGCCCTGTAACCTCATGTGAGATAAATATTTGAAAGTTATCTAATAGATGTGATCAGATCAATCCGAAAAAAACTATTTCGATGTGTGAACCGATTACAGTACAGCACTGAACGATAAAACGACAAGTAAAATCGAAGATTATCTACGAGATTCTTAACTTGAATTAACATTTATTATTGGTCTAATTCACAGTGACTTAAGAATTCAATTTATGATATAATGAGTTGGTAACTAACAACAAATCGTGATTATATTGTCAATTAATTGTATCAGCTAGTTCAAATAAGATGACATTGTTATCTAAAACCATGAAGTATTTGCACTTGAAGAATAAAGAACAAAAAACAACAACGCACTGTTTTGTGCACATTCAACTGTAGAGGTATACAGTAATCATGAACTGAAATAATCTGAATTAGAACAGAATTTAACTTATTCAGAATGATCGATTTATGCAGGTACTATTAACATTTTTAGCCACATTGGAATGTGTTCAACACAGTAAACAGCTGGATACAAGCCAATTTAGTGGAATCTAGTCATAATGCCAGTGCAAATCAATCGCTTTAAATAATTGGTCGGCTTAGTAATTTCCTGTCAAAGTTGATAATATTCTAAGTCCTACAATCAGCAAATTCAATAGCCGTTTTGATTAATTTATTTCACTTATTAGACAGGTACAGATACTCTAAATGACGGTCAATGATAAACTGCCCAGTTATCTAAGCCAAAGTAAGAGGAGCGAGGTTCCGACCTGCGACTTATTAGTTGAAAATCGAATCCTTTAACGACTAATTCACCGTTCTACGAGCAGAAATTGATATACAGCTGGATATTCAAATTAATTTTAAAAAAACGAATTCGTATTTTTGTAACAAGCTGATGAATTGATTAGCGGATTGAAGTGTTGTTTTGTGAAGTATTAAAAAGCAATCGGGATTTTATTGCCTTTTTATTTATCGAATTAACTATTCATTCAGTTTATATTTGAAAAAGAAACAGTGAAACTAACAATTAGAACAAGTATATATTTATATAACTGTTTACAGGTTAAAAGGCACACTGATGATTAACAATACTACTATTAGTAATAATACTAATATTCATAACAATAAAGGTAGTAATAATAATTGTAATGATAACTATAGTGATTGGAATTAACAAGCCGGAGAACAAAAACATAGAATGAATTTAAAAATGGACAGACATACATCACATACTTGACAAAACAAAAATTGAGAAAAAAGAATGTTTTAAAAGAAAAATAGACATAATTGGGTAAGAATTATAAATTAGTCACTAAATCTAGATGTAATTGTCTACAGTAAAATCAGAAAGTAGACAAGTTAAACAAAACAGTAATCAAAACAATTAATGTTAATTAATGAACTCTACCTACGGATGTATATGAACTGTATTCTTCAGGTATGTGTGTAAGAGGAATACAGATGAAGAGATCTGTTGGTCGTACTAAATTCATTTCAAGGTAAACAATAGCCTTATTGTAAGTATCAATATTCACATGGCTAAAGAAGTACTGACAATTGATTCTTTGATTTGCTTACAAGAAAAAAATAGAGTTGTGGGCATGCAGTATTTTTATATGTTTAAGAAAGAAGATGCTTTATGTACAGTAAAATCAATTAAATATTAATCAGTGTTAGGCATAACAACGATGGATAGTCATCCACATTTCATCAACACTATATATATATATATAGTGAATTTGGTGGTATTAAACTTAATAGAGAAAATTACGCACAATTCATAGACAAAAACTAGGATAAACAAAGAGTGGGAATAAAGAAACAAAGAAATTGATGGGTGTTTTCTTAACATTAAAAAATAATTTGACAGTCCTTTAGTCAACAATTCATCTTGTGTACCCCCCCATTTTATTTGTTTGCTCGCAGTTAAGGGTATGTGCTTGTATTTCTCAGTAAAAAATTTTTCAATGTCGAAAGGATAAATAAATAATAATTGATAATTAACGAATGAACAAAAAAACGAAACTCAAGCGAGCAAACATAAAATCACATGCAATTTGAATTTTTTGGAAGTTAGCTAAATTCAACTGTTGTGTAAAGAAGAGAAAAAGGAAAAAAAGCGATAAACAGTTAACATTAGTCAGTACTTAAAATGAATGTTATATTACTACTAAGCAATAATAATAGTAATGATGTTATCGTGTTAACAAATTGTTTACAACGATAAATTGTGCACAAATTTGTGGTTGAACTGATTATTTGATCTACCGAACTTAGAGCTGAAATCATTTATCCGAGGTATTCAGGGTATCAAATGTACGAAAATTTGATTTGTCAAGAAAAAAAACTCAAACATATCGGAACAAACAATGACATTCAAGAATAGGATAATGGTCAAACGAACTGTTTATTTAGCATATACAATCTTTATAAAAAGAAAGGTGTATGTTATAACGTGTGGTCCGCCTATTAGAGAGCAACCTATTATCGATCGAAACAGTGACGCATAAAATACGTGCGAGCAGCCTAGAGTTCTGATTGGCCCTGCTTCCCTGTCTAGCCCAGCCAGTTGAGTCCAGAACACAAGTCTCAGCCTCGGTGATATGAATCATTATATTTCAAACATGCTCTGTTTATATACCCAACAAACAGACTACATCGTACCATAAAACAGAAAGTAACATTTGTACAAGATTTAACCTTCAGGAAATGACCAATAGGGAAATGACTCGTTGGAAGAATGTTGATCAATGGGGCAATGACACTATTTCTCATTCAGGAATAGCACTAGATAATTTCTGGGGTATTTTCTGAATACCCCGACAGTGTAACAACTGCAACATGGGATATAATATTTAGTTCGATGAATCTCTTACTTACTCAGAAACACATTTATTTACAAGTTTGAATAATCTATAAAGCTGAATAAGAACTAATTTTGCGAAACCGAATTTTTTAATAAAACACAAGAGGGAAAATATGATGGATAGTTAGAGTATTGAGAGTATGATGGAATTAAACATGCTTATGGTGTAAGGGTGACAGGATTTCTAGCAATCCTATCTAATTAAAATTATTTTTTATTCACTAACTGGAAATTCGGTTATTCAAAGGAAAGTTGCATAATGACAACAAGCTCTAAGCTTTATAATTAGTCAGCCGTGTACAACAACATGTACTTAACCTTTTAAGATGAAAAAGATTCGAGTCCAAAAATTTATTTTAATGGTATTAGAGAGTAAACTGAATAAACTGAACGTTAATTTATTTTAATGTCAACTTAATACAAGTAGTAATTATTACATCCAAACTGTAATGTTATTACGGACCAACATTTATTGAATTCCACTCGAAATATACGACCCTTTACTTTTACTATCGCTGAGAGAATGTACAACATTCATCTATACTTCTATTAAAATCATTATTATACTGATGTAAAAGCGAATTCTTTAAAATATTACATAATGATGTTGTCTCAAAAATAGGCAGCCAAAAAATAGAGACGATAAATGATAATTTTTGGACGTGTAAATAAAGAGACATAAAAAAACAACACTAACAGTAAAGATTAGTGTCAACAACAACAAAAATTCGATGTTAATGAAACCGATGATTACACAAATATAACTTGGAGTAATTCATGATACCTATGGAACTATACAATATGTGGACAACATAATACAGACAACCATAATGTAATATATACAATACTATTGATGTATGTACAAACTAAATGTAAGCTAATCAGATATGATCAACATATTTCCAATATATGGTATTTAACTAAATCTATAATCAAGACAGATTTATGATTATTATTATTCTATTAAAATACCAGCATTATTATGTAAGAGAGATAAATTTAAACAATATCTACTGAAAAAGTTCAAATAACTATAGACAATATTAGAAATAAGAGAATAGAAAGAAAAACAAACGTAATTACTTTTAAAGATGAAAAAATAAGAAGAAGAAATTGTCAATGAATGTGAATGAGAAGATTTAATTGGTTTAAAAAAACTAGAAACAGATAAAAATTACAAAAAAAAGAACAAAGAAAACAAAATCATATTGTCTTGTAACTACCATAAAAATTATAGAACATCACATAGATAATGAATGTTATTCAAATAATACTTATTAATTAGGCTACAATTATTTACAAAGTTGAACTTTACATCATTCACTTTATCATTAATTCAATATAGATGTTAACAAATACAAAAATGAAGCTGTATAGTCGATTTAATGATTTAAGAAAAAGAAAAAAGAAAATGAAAATTAACCAACTATGTTACACATAGTATGTATCATTACTAAGGTTTGATTTGATAATTTCAAATAAATTCACAGCATTAGGTAGATTGTTATAAATAAAAATAATATAGTTGTATTATCCTAATGAGTAGAAAAATTAGATTTTCTAACGTTCTTCATAGAATAAATGGCCAAATTATTATTAACCTCAGTTTTAAAATTGGGTCAAGGTATTGGCGAGTTTGAAACTTACTTGTTAATATTAGATATCCTTATTGCATAATTATTAGCATACAGTATGGGTATTATTAATTAGATTAGTGAAAAATCGATATAGTTACGAAAATCGTGTATAAAGAATGTACAGAAAGGAAAGTAAGCAGAGTATCTTGAACAATTGTCATTGATGAACACCAAGCAATAGGAGATCACATCGATTGATCAATAGTACAAATACTTTTATAGAGATAAATAAATTATTACCTGCTGTGATTTATCAATGTCATATTCATCTTTGCTTTGAACATCACTTGCATATAATATATTTGCCAATGTTCAATAAATAATAAGTCAAAGATATTCCATAAACAAATCTCTCCCTCTTTATATATATATATATATATATATATATATATATATAACTAAAATTTACCGGGATTTTCTCCAGACACCACCACTCCATCATCATCTTTGTACGTTGAGGCATTCAATAGTGACTTGAAATGAATAAGAGAAACAAAGAGATTTGAATTTTAAAATCAGGATATAAACAACTTTAACAAAGGGTAATATATAATTCATAGATAATTATTCTGCACGATTCATCATAATTAAAATGATGTCAGTTATATATAGGTCAATTTAAAAGTTTAATAATAAAAGACGATATCTAGCGCTTATATACGTAATGAAGTTAATATGATAAAGATAAACGGTATAAATTTGTTTCTCTGAATGAGAACATATAATAAGAAGGAAACAGGCAACGGGAGAAATTGACTGAATACCAATAATAATAATAATAATAATAATAATAATAATAATAATAATAATAATAATAGTAATAATAATAATAATTGAAAGTAGAAAGAATTACATCTATCACTAAATGTATTCTTAAAAACACAGCGGCGAGTTTCTTACGTAAACAATATTGTTATTTCAAAACATCATAAATACCAAGGCTAATGTGATAGATTATGATTGCTGAATGTAGTTCAAGTAAATAGTTTATAAGAAACCAGTTCATCAAAATCCTTATATATTCAATTTTGGATAACAAAAGTTGTATGCACCTAGACTAGGCTATCTAAACCAGATTAGATGAAATCAGTTTCGAATAAATGATTTTATAATAGTTGACATTATAGACAGTTCTAGCAATAAGGACATCAACTACACAGTCACAAAAACAGTACGATAATACCATATTATTTAACACGACCAAGTGGTATATATATGACAAAAATGGGAATTAAAAACAGTTCAACTGTTTAACTTAGCAGTAACCATGTGCAACTTTTGTAGAACTTCAGCTGATAATCATTAATATTTATGCTAAGGACTACCTCATAAGGTCAGCAAAAATAAAATTTACTATTATAATAATTACAATAGTCGATAAGATATAAGTAAAAAATGCCAATATAAAACACATCACATAAATTATTATTAGAATCAATGGGGAAACAACGATTCACCTTAAAAATGAATAGTTTTACTCAGCAATTAGTTATGAACAATAATATATAGGGGGGGGGGTGGAAAATAGGAAGGATGATGTGAATGAGCAATAGATGAAGCATTTACCATGTGGTAATAAGAAAGTTATTCATTAAAAACAGGCGAGTTTTGAATTATCCCAAGTATGAGAGTGGGATAAAAGATACAAATGGTTACAAGAAAACGAAAAACAACACTAGGCTGAAAAACACATAATTTAGGGAATTTAATCTGAATTTTACCTATGGCGACATGAAGGGCAAAACACTGCATTCCTAGTGCTCTCAAAAGAAACCTAGATCTCTTTTCAACCACTTATTTACCGGAATCCATTGCTCATATACTCGTTCAATAGTCAAGAGTTGCTTTAAACAAACATTAATTATAACTTATTTGACTATAGAAAACGTGCCGCATTCATGAGGTTGGTCAGATCAGTTTTGATATTATTATCTAGTGGTGAGATACCAAACTATGTTATATGTAAGACAAAGTGTTTAAATGAAACCTAAGAGTTATGTGATCAAAACAGAAGTGTCGTTATCTTCAAAATAGATTAGGTAAGAAATAAAAAAGGCTTAAGGAAGTGAGATGCAGTAAGATAAGCAATTTGAAGCAGGTATAGAAAAGGAAATAATTTCAAAATATCAATTATAAACTTATCCGACATCTGCAACAATGAATTCATGATTCAAAAGAAAATTCACAAAACAGATGTTATCCTCTCCAAATATAATCTCTGTTTCGCATCAAATTAATCTTTATACAACTATGACGTAATAAACTCATTGCTAATTAGAAGCGATGGTATTCAGTTTGTTAACAGCTATGGAAATACTCAACATTGTTAAACTATAGGGAGTCGGCAGTTTAGAGAGACAGTGTAAATTTATGATAAGTAATTTATACATTGTATGTACTTACCGAATGATATATTGGATTACATAAGTTATTAGCCCCCGGAGAATAGCTGAAATTTAACGAAAAAGATGGAATATCATATATATATATATATATATATATATATATATATATATATATATATAACATGTGTTACATATGCCCAACCACCGATTACCACGACCCGCAATGCTGACTAGTGTAGGGGATAATTGGAAGAAAGTTCGGGGTGGTCAAACCAAAACGTGGCATCAGTCCATAAAGTCACTAATTTCTGGTCTGAGCTATATTGGTAGATCCATACTACTTGGTTGGGAGCCGCAATATTATCATAACCATTAGTTGGAGACTACGGGTGACATGGCTCAGAATCGATCACAATGGCATAGGTGTATACACTCTTTGTCTCCATTTAAACAGTGAGATTACAATTACTTTATACGTTTCTTTCTACAAACTAATTATTTTCTTGCTATATCCTATCTTGTTGGGATGATCCAGAAAAGTTCTCGCAAAAGACACGCAAGGATCAGGAAAAATTAAGAAGCATTTCATCCAATCAGCGCTCACTTAAAGTTTAGCCAGAAACATCAAGGATGTGAAACGTCACATGTAGAGGTTCTGATTGGTTGATTTTATACCGCTACTATGTTTAGTAGCATTCCAGAATCTTCGAGCAACCCAAGGACATTTAGAATATTATAAAAACCCTCTGTTTTCTGTATTAAAATGAACCTTGAAGTAAGGTACTTTTCACATACTTTACGCCTTCTCTCTCGTGTTCAGGTCGCTGTATAGATCTAGCTTGGGGGTTTCCGAATAGATTAGGAATCGAGTATAGCGTTCAAAATTGCAAGACCTATCATACTTTACCATTGAAATAACCGTCACTATGCATTTGGTATTTATCATGTTGCGCTAATGGGGTATGGTAACTTGGACAGATGCATATATGTGTCTGGCCTACGTTGCAGATAACCAACTAACTGATTATATATATATATATATATATATATATATATATATATATATATATATATATATATATATATATATATATATATATATATATATATATATATATATATATATATATATATATAAGCACTAAGGATAGATATTATTTAGGGTTAAAATAATGAAAAACTAACTTATTAGAGTTCGAGACATTCTGCTGTTTTGGTGACATGATTAGTTGTGAACATTTTTGTTGTGATTGTTTAAGCTCTAATTCCAAATGACGACAACGTAGGCAAAGTCTTTCTATCGCTTCATCCGCTGCAGCTTCTTGAGCAGTCAACTATATAAGATTTAAAAAAAAAGCCGAAAATAATTAATTTGTGGAACAATTGTTATTTATACTCGTATTATAGGAATGATAGTTTAAATGCTTACTTAACAAATAACTGAGTTATTAACATACAATTAAAATTAAGTTAGGAGATTAAGTTTTATCGACAATGTGAAGTCGTATCTCAAATGAAACTGAAGACATCAATTTCACTTGCACGGTACAATGTGCTATAGATATCTTATAAATTAGAATGAATATTAGACTATATATATATATATATATATATATATATATATATATATATATATATATATATATATATAACTTACACGTTGTTCTAGATTTCGAACACGTGATTGGAATTTTCGTAGTTGAATTCTATGATCATGCAATTCACTAGCTAGTGCCCAAGACACTGTACTAACACTGTCTATAGTTGTATCTGAATTTTGACTTTTATTAGTATAGTCATTTTTATTAATTAGATCAGTTGGTAAATATACATTATCTTGGATAAGTACAGCTTGACGAATATACTCCATGATAGCTTCATTACGTCGACGAGTCGATGCTGCAGTTGCTGTACCTTTTAATGCTGATCGAGGGCTAGAATGTTGATAATTTAAGCCAGTGGAATAACCATTTAATGATTTTACATTATCACTACCATTTGAAGATTTTCTAAACTGTTGAAAAAGACTGTTTACAGGTGATGAATCGTTTGTATCATTATTATTAACATTAAGATATTCCATATCATAATCTACACTACTTTCATCAACAGCTATCACATCCTCGTCCTCCTCCTCCTCCTCATCATCATCCTTGTTCCATTGTTTAGCTTCTTTCAATGATCGTGTAGCTACAGCAATCAAATTATGTAAAGCTTCAGTAGAATCTCCACCTGATAACTGAAAAACGAAACACACATACATGTAATATGCTTATGGAAAAAATGAACAATAAACAAATTATATCATTATTATTATGGCATTTTTTTTTATCAAGTTGATATTTATGTATACATCCTTGGGCCACAAGTCTCATCAATTTATAAGTGTTAGGGCAACAACATATAAATATTTATGCAGTGTTCTTTTTTCCCAAACCAAAAACTCCGATCATTAAGCATGAACTAATAAGGTATTCAAAGTGAATAATTTATCCGTATATGTTCATTTCAAGTTTTTAACTACTCATTAAACAAAGTTATTAATGAAAGAGAAAAACAAAGAATCAGTGTGAAACATACAATAAAACTCTTATTACTAATATCATTAAACAATGAAATAAGAATTTCTTATTTTCATAAAATTCAAGAATATACATAGAACTGAAAATAACACTTTGGACAAAACGAGTATAATACCAATCAACTCGATCACTACAGATACATATTTTGATGAAATTACGTTCTATGAGTTGGGGGATTCAATCGTTAAGACTTTATCATCTTCTTGAAAAGGAGTGAGCAACTAGAATTTTTCTCCAAGTCAATAAGAATTTAATTTGCTGACAATAAATGTGATTCTCTATTATCAATAATTGTTTTGCCATTTATTTTGATAGTCTTTCTTGGTTTCTGTGTTAATTTCTCTCATTAATTGAAAAATTCAATTCAGTTTAATAAGTTTACTGGATGCTAATGGAAATGAGCATCAAACCTGATACAATTTCAAGTAGAAGTGAAATTGTTTGGAAAGATAATGATAAATTTACAACTAGGACAAGTTCAAAGAGAGTAACATTATCGAAACTACCCTGTTAAGTTGCAAATCTCCACTACCTGAAGACGTACGAGCAATTGTAAATAACTAATCTGGAAATCATGAGAACAGTTTGAGGTAAACATAAATTGAAAGGTAATATATCATTACCCAATTGCTAATATTATTTATTAAATAATAATGAGATGTAGATGGACGAAATTGTTAATATTTCATATTTTACAACATAAATATAAATTAAAACGTTTGAAAAATTTATTTTAATTGTATTCATTCGTTTGCTGATTGGCTATTTAACACGAGAGCACAGAAGAGTATTCATATATGGATTCGTGAGATCTGTTGAAGCAGAATCTTCATTGTTTTATTTCCGTTGATATCATGTGCTGATCAACATTCATTGCTAACTGTATAATCTACAATCAAATACGGCGCTCTATTCAAAAATTGCCGTAATGAAGGGAGAATAGTAAGTTTACATGTTGTCATGAAAAAATTAGGAGTTTTAGACACACACTATGACTAGAGCCATACTACGTAAACTAAATAAGTCGATATTTTTTCAGTGACGTGTACCTTACTGCGTCACGAGGCAAGCGCTAATTTGGAATCCCGAAGGGAAAGGAAAAAGAGGAAAACCAAGGAACACTTTGCACCAGGAATTGGAAGCAAACTTCAAAAGAATGAGTAGCAACGGGAGGCAGCTGGAAAAGACTGCCCAGTACAGATATCCATGGAGAATCCTAGTGGGCGGCCTATGCTCCTCCACGAGAGGTAACAGGTTTAAGCAAGTAAGTGAACCTTGTTATGAAAACCAGACGCATTTGGTTAAGTATAACGTAACTAATTTCGCTGATTTATTGAACAGAATATCCATAAAAGACCAATGAACATCGAAACCTTTAAATGATTATTTGACGTATTTACAAGTATTTTTTTTCTTGTATTGGAATTTAACATGATCGCTAATAATATAATTATTATTAAATTTTGACTTGTTGACCAAAAAATGTGAAAAAAATATACTATCACCAACAGAACGAGTTTATGTTTTAGTGTAAGAACCCCCCAAAAAAAGAACATTCAAACCGAGATAATGCAGTGATAGTTCTCTGGATAACCATCAACATCATCCTATATAAATGTTACCTAACCATCTCTTATTATTTGATTGAATGGATTATCACTAATGATCATATCATCCAACAGGTACAGATTGTTATACCAAACTTCGATTTATAATACAGTTGCCTAAAACAAGGTATATGAACTTAAATGTTGAAAACTGAACATCTTATCTACTGAGCTACTCCATTCCATAAGTGAATAATTATCATTATAAGAATTGAAAACTCAATAGAGTAAAACTGACTAAACATAAAAATAAAATAAGTTATCAAAAAGTTAGTAGGTTAAATAAACATCACAATGATGATACGATATCCGTTAACACGTCCATGTTTTGCAATACTTTAAACGATAAGTACATTTATTTATACTGTCGCTAGCTAATTATAAAAAAATGTTTTATGATATAATTATAAAAAAGCAGTGTACTTGAGAATAATAATAATAATAATAAAGTGAGAAATAGTTTTTACTCAGTCTGATGCATCAATAAGAGTATGTTGAACAAATCTCAACTGATAAACAACCGTAATATGTACACATAAATGAATAAATGACATACAAAAATTCCAAAATATGCAATATAAAATGATAATACCATACATTTTAATGTCTATAAATTTCATGATTTTCTTTTGGTTACTAATTGGGTGGGTTACCAAAAAAAAAAAAAAAAACTAACTGTACAGACGTCACCAATTGTAACTCAATCTACATTGTGTTATAACTCTATCTTTTTTCCTACACTTCATTTCATTTTAACTAGTAATATTAGAGATTTTAAGAGAAGAAAGATGAAAAATAAAATCAAATAAATAATTTATGATATGATAGAGTTAGGAGATGAAGCTCATAAATGAGTGAAACAAATAGTTGGTGGGACAAGAATAGAAGAAATAATCATATATTAAGTGAATTGGAATGTCACATATTGAATAAATTGTAAACGATAATAGTAATAATAACCACAACAACAGAACAAACACAAAGACCGAGAACTAACCAACAATGTTGACATAGAAATAGGGTCGACATAATATTATGATAATCAAAACAATATTTTTTTGAAATTTATTTTAACTATATAAAAGAAAAATATCAATGAAACAATCACAGATACTCAATTTTCAATAAAAATAAACATTATTTCACATGTTATGCATAAAATTAAATAATATAGAACTATGATAAGTAGTATTTTATAAGATGAAAATGAGTCATATTTTATGGTAAGATAAATGATATAGAGAAAGAACAACAAAAAAATTAGACGGAAATATGTAAAATTATAATTATTGTATGAATACGCATTGTCTAATTTATATCAGACAAAAATATTTTATTGATTTGTCCAATTATTAGTCAATTTACCCTTAATATAATCAATATAAAAAAGTTAACATATGGAATAAATAATTACAATTTCTATAGGTTAAATCAATACCATATGGACTGGATTGGTTGAGATGGGGAGGGGGGAGATAATTAACTAATTCAGATGTTAAAAATATAATCGTTTAACACCAATCCAGTAGACGTTTACTCAAAGGTAGAGAATGTTTAAACACGTGTAAAAATTATACCAACCATCGCAATTTGTAACATGTTCACTATTAGGATAGTAGATTCAATGACAGACTTAAGGGTTCCCAGCCAAATACATATACCATCAATCCTGTTAAACTAATAACCATTGATTTTATTGCAAAAATATAAAGAATTTCTGGTTGGATAATCATGAGACTTAAAGTGACATGATTATAAACTATTCCATATAAACTATGATTTATTTATTACTGGCATTGTAGCTGACTGACTGATTTATTACTGAGTCTTCTGTAAGTCAGGAATATCTTTTTTCATAATTCAATTTGTTTTCTTTGAATTTTCGTTGTAGGTACAAGAGATATCATTATTTTTACACCATTTATCGCTGTGTTGTGCTAATCTGTTGGCGTAAACTTGATGAAAGGTATATCATCTAAAACTATTTAATAGTTATTAAATGATATTGTTACTATACTTATTGTTCTATGTTTCATTAAATAAGGTCATAATAATGTGTAAACAAACAACTGGACTAAGTAATAATTTACATACATTCTATGTACTTGTAGTGAACGCAAATAAATTAGGAAATTAATGAAATGCACAAAACATTTTTTTAAAGAAACTTACGTTTACAGGATTATCGGTTTGAGTAGACACGACCTCTTGACTGATCAAAAGTAAAACAGAAAAGAGAACCACAAGTTAACAAACAACAGTATTAGTGAACTGGGAAAATGAACATAGTCAATCCCATTACATTGATTGATCACTGAACAACGACAAGCGTCATGCTCATCCAGTCAGTTGTAGGCAACGTCGAACCCAGGATGTTTCTCCAGTTCCTAGTACTGATTGAATTCTATCAACGAAGATTTGAAATGTGGCCAATAGTCTTTGTGATTCAATATCGAGTGAATTGTGATTTGATTTTAGGTGATTAGAGAACCCCTCATTTATGTCCGTCATTTCATAATACTTAGTGCACAACAACAAGACGTACATAATGTTTGCGGAACTGATGCATCACGGTAGACTAAAATCTGGACAACCCAGTTTCACAATTTTAATCCACCAGGTAAAATCAGTCCCTACAAGACTACTTATACGTCTTACTGATTAGTACTAACTAGCACAAACCCCTCGAAATAGTAGGGTTTTATCTCGACTATCTCTAACCATCTAAAATGCGCCTTCCTGTAAAATCCATCAGACAAGATATTGGAAATGTTTCAATTATATATTACTAACGTTCTAAGATGTTAACCGATGACAACCATAACAAGGACAGAAGATACTGTCAGGTATGAATGAAAAAAAACAATCGAACTAGTTATTTACAAGCTAAAAAATGGTTGGTCTGTAAGCTGAATGATGTATGAATCGATGAAAATGTAAATTATTCTGCATGATAAGAGTGAATATTATTGGATACATCCAAATCTTTAGTACTTAACAGTCAGATTACCATCAACTGCTCAGTCATATTTATTCATAAATAAACTGGATAGATTAATAATAAATGCAATGAAGTTACTGTGTAAAATATTCATTATATAAGAAAGGCTATCATTATCATCAGTCTTATCTAAATAATGCTATATACATTAAAGAACATGTTGTGAAATCAGTCAGTCCCTGTTAACTTTCCCTGTATCACATTTCCACTCTTAGTTAATGATAAAAATAACTTTGACAATAAAATTAAAATGATAAAAACTAACTATTTATCAGATGAATTATTAATCAACTTTGACTCTTTCTCAACCGCCTTTTCCTCTCCCTCCTTATTATTCTCCTCGTCTTCCTCTTGTTGTTTTTCTGTTAATATCTTTGCTATACGGGAATTAGGTGGATCTTTTTCTCTGGCTAGAACAAAACTAAAGTAAAACATTGAAAATAAACAATTAAACGTGAAGTCGACAACAACAAAACTACTACTAAGTAACCGGAAAAAAAGAAAGGATAATTGCAGTTGAAATTTTTAAAATAACACATATACACAAATATAATGAAGATTTTCGCTGATCTGGATGGTATGCTCGGAGAACAAAAGTCGATCTAATTCATCTACTTGAACTACAAATCTTCTCCATCATCTCAAAATCATACGAGCCTAGCACACTTTCCGTTGTTAGAAAGTCGGACAATCAAATCAAGAGGCAGGCTTCCACTGGAGAACAACGTAATTTCTTTATGAATGTTTTGACAGCATAACACGATCAAACCATCCAGCTCAGACAATAAAATTCCACCTAAATCATTCAACTGAGCTACCACCATCTCAAATGTATACAAGTCTATTTTTGGATATTTATAAACATATTCGATAGATTTATTAGCGTAATTTTTTTGCTATCAAAGCATGAAGAAAATTACCTTCAAACTATATACAAAACTATTGATTAACGCCATAAAATAATTGTGCACTACTTAGTGAGTAGGTTACTAGGATTTCAACATAGGTCTTTGAACTACTATTTTGGGACCATCGGATTAGCAATTCTGATGTTAAAGGCAGAGTGCTAGTTAAAGATGGAAAACAGGTTAGTGAGGTAATGAATCCCTCTCAAACGAGATGCTTAGGATATGTATTATTCACAGCACATTCACCGATAAACAAGACGCGTGATGATGACTGGTATAGTCGTATGCTGAAGAAGACATGAGGCGGCCAATCCAAGACATGGCATCAGTATACGAAGACACTAAATGTTAGACTGAGTCATGTAATTAGACCCAGACTACTTGATTAGGATAAACGCGAGTACCTTAACTAATGGTTAGAGACCGAGTGACATGGCTCAGAATCGTTTGTAATGCTGCCGACGGATTCAATCCTTGTTTTCCCATAGATTCTAAGCTTCTAAATTACCCTATAAATATTTCCTAATCCACTAATCTATATTTTCTTCTTGAATCATATCTTTTATGACTAGTCTTTCCTACTATCAGTAATACTATTGCAACTTATACCATTCTAGCATCTTACTGTGTTAGTGTGACGTAGCAATTTGAACTGATTGTATATGTGTCAGGTTTCTTTTGGTGCATATGACTGACTGACAAATTTCGATTAAAAATGTCTCAGTAATGTATACTTATTGAGATTCACAAATTGTTGCACACTGTATTCTTATAACTTACGAATCGAAATTATACAAAGATTTGTGATAATTTGTCTGGCTCTGATCTTATGCTTTAGGGACGTAATGATTTCATGGGCTACATATTGTGTAGAAACAGTGAAAAAAGTGGAGTCATTTATAAATGGCGTAAGTTAGTGTTATAGAAATAAGTGAAGAAACGACATTAAAAAAGTACTTACTGAATGATTTCCCCAGTATTTTGGAGTACTTGAGCTGCGAATTGTTGAGAGACACCAACCAAACTATGGCCATCTACTTGAACAATTTGATCGTACACTTGAATACTGTTAAATGTTTTTTTAGATATAAAAAATAAGACAGGAATTTCATAGATGCTTTATACACAATTTAAAAAACAAATACAGGTCAATCTACTCAACTCTGAACCATACTTTTTATATCAAGGATTAGTTACGCTACTCAACTGCCTTAACTGATGAAAGCCAGTGTTTAAACCCATGATTGCATGATTAAAGATTGAACACCCTAATATGTAAGATAATCAAAATAACACAACTTTCCAGGATTGCATAGGCAAACATCTAATTGAAAAATGGATTAATCACCTAAATGCAACATTTTTGAGTAACCATCGCTGCTTACAAATATGCATGTATAATCAGGAAAGCACAATTTTCTAGGTAAATTTCTTTCTTTCTATATCTGATTATGATGGTCAAGTATATAAAAAACAGATAGTTACAGTTAATTTGGGCAACATATCGGTTATATATAATGCATCTTCCATTCTGCAAAGTGAATTTAAAACTTCCAACAGATGTAGACAATTTTATTTTTTATCAGCAGTGGAATCTAGAACACACGTTTTGTCCGATCTAAGACTCACCAGCTAAATGTACCTGCAGCCTAGATCCCCGGAGTGAATATTAGCTCCGGGTTAAACTCACATATTCTGTCCGGGATTCTGAAATGCAAGTACATCCAGCTGACGAGTCCTAAATAGTAGGAAACGCGCGTCCTAGATTCCACCGCTAGTCACTATCTATATCTGCTAATAATGCTTGCGATTTGAAGCAATCCGCACACGATGCTCAATTGCAGTTTTAAAGTCCGATGGGAAGATTCAAACAACCAATAAAAAAATAAAATTTATTTCTTATTATGGTCTGAAATATTAGCGTATTAGCTTAGAATAAATAACAAAACAGAACAAACAATTCAGGAGATTACAATTTAGCTTTAGAAAAAACTAAACAACATGAGAAAGCTAGTATTTTTTAAAATGTACCCAGTAGCGATTAAATTCACCTTACACACTTTATGATATATGCTTTATTAAAAATACGGGAATTTCCATAACATATCATATGCATCGTTCATTTGAATCACACCCGATTATTATAGTCCCTTAATTAATAAAATTAAACTCCCCTAGAAATAATAGTGATATGATGAATGCAATTCAATCATTACAAAATAAACTGCAACTAATAAATTATCATTCTTTTTTTTTTAGAAAACAACAACTATTTTTCAAGTCAGTAAAATAAGTGGATCAAAAAAATATGACCTTACAGATAACAAAAACCAAATATCAATCAATTAAGAAACTTTAATTATGATAGACAAATTATGAAAATGTTGGAGCACTTGTTTTTGCGTATAATAAATAACAGTGAGTGTTGTTTTATCGAAATTGATTAACAAACAAAATTTTATCAATAATCCAGCTAAATGTCTATTTTATTGTGATCTATAAGAGGATGAACTAAGGAGTGCATTTGACAAAAATTTTTAAAATAGAATATTATATAAGATTGAATAAAGGAGAATATTTGTAATTGTGTACTCTGGGCTGGGTAATTTTATTGTGAAGTTTACGTTGCCACTTTGCACAACTTCACCAGTGTTTAACGTAGAATTGAGTTGTTTAATTAATTCAAAAGCGTTAAGTCAACCCATTCTGGTGACTTTTTCCGTGAATAGTTGTTTTGGTGAACTTCTCTATTTTCATTTGTTTCTATCAGGCGTTGACCTTTTACCGTGTAATCGCTCAATGTTTACAATCTGTATTGGTAAACAGGGTGCCAGTCGGGATGTCAACTAATTGCAAATCGGCCTGAATGCTACGGTTTAAGAAATTCTTCGCTATTTTATCAATTTCCTCTATCCAAAATTTTGAAATTTTTTTAATCCCAGGTTATAAGTGTATATTAATACGAGTGACAACATATCATTTCGTTTAAGGACCAATTTACGTCCGTATATGTGTGGGTGGAGGTATGAACTTTGTTTAATATAATGCTTGTAGCAGTTGGGATTTATTTACTAAATGATATTGTATTAGTTCTCTTTCGTTGTTGTCTTTTAGTATGAATAAAATAGCTCTGGTGATTATTTTGAGGTATAGCAAGTTTTCTAGACTGAATGTGAAACTTGTTATTTTGAACATTATTACAATCTAGCATTATTATTATTAATTTGAACACATAAATAATGGTACAAGGGGGCACCAAGTATATATGCGCCACACAAAACAATGAAAATTTAAGGAGAAGGGAAGAAAAGGTAAGGAGCGTAGGGAATTATAATAAAACAGAGAACAATAACGACCAGATTAGTGTAAGGTAGTGTAACAGTAGTGATAACTGGGGAAACGAAAAGGTACAATCAGAAGAAATCTTTCAGTTAAGGAAGGAGCAACCACTTTCTTTATAAAGAAAGTAAAAAAAGGTTACAGCAGGATCGCCACTGGCTTCTATTCTAAGCCATATCTGATAACGTCTCTAGCCACTGTGTTACACCGTCTATAGAACTCCAGCAAGGGAGTCGTGAAGGACCAACACAAGCCAGCCCTTTGCAGCTTTCTTTCATACCACGACACCATGTCATACACTGACCACCTCTCCGCTTTTTCCAACCAGTCCCAGAGTCGGCAAATAATGCACAACGTGGAATTCTCTGGGACGTCATTCGTAGAATATGTCCAAGCCACCGAAGTCGGTGTTTCAAGATGGTGACACCAATTTCATTATCGTCTCTGCGACCGAACACACAATGCCGAACCTCTGCATTACTGACATGGTGTTGCCACTGGATGCCAGCAATCCTTCGGAGGCAACGATGATCAAACACAGAGAGTCGTCTAACATCCCCAACTCGGAGAGGCCAGGTTTCACAAGCATAGAGCAAAACTGCTCTCACCGACGCGTTGTAGATCCGACCTTTTACAGCCAGACTACCATCACGAAGGCGCCAAAGATGGCCCAGATTGGCATAAGCCGCTCTGGCTTTCACTATACGTGCATTGATCTCATCACTCACACCACCACCAGCACTTATGCAGTTACCCAGATTCATGAACTTCTCGACTACTTCAATCTGCTCACCATCCAGAGTGAGTACAGGATTAGAATCCTGCCAGTCTTGTAGAAGAACTTTGCACTTCGAAGGTGCAAAGCACATACCATACCTACGGACACTGATTGCCAACTGATTAAGTGCGGATTGCATGGCTTGGGCATTATCGCACAGTAAGACAATATCATCCGCATATTCAAGGTCGAGAAGTCTTTCTCCAGGCAACAGATCCACACCACCATTACTAACATCCATCAGAGCTGTTTCCAGAATGTCATCGATGGCAGGGTTGAAGAGGAATAGTGAGATTGGGCAACCCTGCCTAACCCCACTGCTTGAATAGAATAATGGAGAAAGGTGGTTGTATGCCCTCACTCTGCCTGAGGTGTTTGTGTATAGGGATTTTAGGATGTTAATAAACTTCTCAGGCACACCCTTCTTCAATAGACAATCCCAGAGAACAGTTCTGTCCAACGAATCGAAGGCAGCCCTGATGTCAAGAAACACTACGATTGTTGGCCTTTGATAAGTATGACGGTGTTCTAACACTTGGCGGAGGGTGAAGATATGATCAATACATCCTCGACCGGAACGAAACCCAGCCTGCTCTTCGCGAGTCAATCCTTCTCGGGTTCTGAACAACCTACGAAGTATAATGGAAGCCAATAACTTGGACGCAATCGGAAGTAGACTTATCCCCCAAAATTGTTACAGGAACGACGCGAACCCTTTTTAAATATGAGGAAAACTATCGACTCATTCCATGACGTTGGTACACTCTCTAGTTCCCAGACCTTTGTAAACAACGTCGTCAGTCCCTTAGTCATAAAGTCACCACCATCTTTAAAAAGAGCCGGAGGTAAGTCGTCTGGGCCCGGTGATTTGTAACGTTTCAAGAGTTGAAGTTCCTTGCGGACTTCCGCCTCATTTGGTGGATCAGTCGTCACCGGCCATGGAGGGCAGGACAGTCTGACCGATGTTGCCGGAGCAGCAGGCCAGTTGAACTGCACTTCGAAGAATCCTGCCCATCGTCCAAGACGTCGATGGGTCTTAGTTATTGGCGTTCCGTCATCCTCGCAGATTGTTTCGCTCACACCAGACTTCTTGCTGCCAGTGGCAAGTTGCGACGCATACATTCAGTAACGTATCATCGTACACACATATTTGACTATTCTGATTTTAAACAAGCTAAAGTTTACTTAACCTACTGTAATATATGTATTCGCAAATTTGATATGCCTTAAGGCTTACCTACATAAATTTATAATTAGATGACTTATATCACATAAACCGGACAATAAAGGCAACATATACCATCAAATACAAATCAACTGAAAATAATCAGGGTGAAATATTTATAAACAAATTTTGCATTTGTTTATCACTTGTTCATTATAAGACGAACACCTAACCAATATGGAGATAAGTCATTGTGATGATATTAACTCGCAATTACAAATATTTAATTAAATGGTATTTATTTTTATATGGAAATAGACCCTAATATTGTGTCCAATTGTTTCATAATCACATAAACACGCTTTAAACTTCGACCAACTATAAACATCAAAATCTATGTAACTAAAGGATTTGGAATGCAATACCTTTCATGGCTAAGTGGTTTTCTGCAATATTAACATACAGCTTTTGACTTAATGCTCATATATTAATCGTACCACTGTGATATATAGTCAACTAATCATGAAAATGAGTAAACACTAATAAAGGGCATCGTAGTTTAAACATTGTAGGCAGTTTCCTACAAAGTAATTATCATGTAAATCTATTCAAGAAACATTAATTAATCGATTACTGACTAGCTAACACAATGTTATCAATTTTCGTCCAAAAGTGGAAACTTTTTCAGAGAAAAAAGGAACTGCATTAAAATGACATGGCACTTGATTGCATTTAACTGAAATTCGATCTCCGAATTAAATCAGAAAAGAGATTTCTACGAATATTCCGATGATGATTTATGACATTGTAAGCCAATCAGAAGTAGCCAAATACGATGGTTAATCGATTGTAATCAAAAAGAGACTAGAAGGACAAGTAGATATCATTGGCTTAGAAATACATTGACTTACTAACGGGCGGAGTTATATATATATATATATATATATATATATATATATATATATGAATATTCATGAATATTACTCGGTAGCCCAATAAATTTTTTCGTACAGTCTCGTGTTCTCACTTAAGTAGTCACTTGGGAGGTTAGCGCGTAGCACGTCGTGTATTAGTATCAGATTTCGGACATCGCACGTCACTAGTTTCTGACGACGTTATATTTATCAAACTCACGCGAAAATAGATAGAATCCCAGACTATCAATTTCAAACCAGCTCAAATCAATTTTGCCGCAGCAGCAAAAATAATTTCACTTGTCACGACTGAAAATAATAGAAATGAAGACACAAAGCTTTCAAGTCAAGAAAATTCAGAACAGGTGTCCGAATTAAAGGATAAACTACCAAATAACTGGCCAATTCGATGAGCGAGCTTGGTCTTGATGCAGGCGTCACATTTTTATAATCAACTTTTCAGGAAAAAATAAAGGGCTGATCAACATCAGATTATTTTATAATCAGTAGATAATGTTTGGAGTTTATTTTATCAAAATACTATGGATAATATTTCGTTTGCAGACTCGACAAAAACTGAATTTGCGTGAAAAAAAATTAACTACAGAGATTAGAAATGACTACTTCATTTATTCCTGTAAAAATATTTAGATTAAAACTGACACATAATGAATTGAATGTGAGGTCTTTCAGTGAATAAATCTGGACGATTTCAGTGATCATTACCAATACCCGTAATGCTCTAAAAGTAGACCAATTACTAGCATATCGATATGCATTACATTTACAAATATATACGGAAAAGAATCTAATAAAATTTATAAGTAATTACTAAGTGTCACTTAATCTATCATCATATATGATTTCATTTAAATAGGTGGAAATGTTAGACCCGTGTAAAACACACTGATGTAATTTCTGTGTAAATTGACAATGCTACTGAGCTAAATTATCAATAAGTGATATGCTTGTAAATGATTTATGCTACATTCAAACGACTAACACCTGCACAATAACCGAAATGACCATTTCAAAGGAATGGTTTTAGTTTAGTCAGTGTGTAAGACAAGTGAACACATACATTATTTGTCCATGTGTATATTGTTTGTGTTTGCGTCTGGGTACCACGATGGTATATACAGAAAGATGTAAATAAAAAATTGTAAAATGTAAACTGTCCGCTTTCAAAACTATGCATGAATCATCACTATTTTTAATAGAAAGAAAATACAGTTGAATAAATGAATAGCATAGACAAAATGTGTATGTGTTAAAAAACAATGGGTCACTACTACCACTACTGGCATTATTAGTAGAACAATGGATGATTTGAATAAAGATAAACAGTGAAAATTTTGTACTGATCCAAAGAGAGTAAAGTAAACGAACAAACAAAATGATGAAATTCAATTGATAAATAGTTATACAGAATTATAAGGTGAAACATATATCGACAAATGTCATTTAGATAATAGCTGATAAAATGTGTATAGGTGAGTGCAACAGAGAGAGGGAGAAAGAAAGGAAACATCCGAAAAATTAGATAGATGGTAACAACAAGAAATCGGAAAAAATAATTTAAATGAAATATTAGTTTCCATGTTGTACTATTATCTAAATTAATAACTTGAAAATTATATACGATATATGTACATTGTAAGATGAGTTTAACATGTATAATAAGCGTAAAGATTTTAACATGTTAAGACTATCACATTATGCTACATGTAAAAAACAGATTAGGGTGAAGTATGAATAACTATTTCAAAACACCGTAACATATCGCCAATTGTCTTAAAAATGGTATTAAAAGTAGCATTTAGTTAAGGTTACACGAATAAGCAAATTGCCGACTACTAAACGTCATAAAAGATTATGGCATTTTAAACAATGGAATGACATACGCGAAGCTCACCCTTCTCTATACACTCTACCATGAATCTATTTTTTTCCATTCACCTACTTTTATGATGCGTATTTCGAACAATAACCAACATAAATACTTGAAGAATATAATTGTGTACATGCCTTTAAGATCCACTTTAGTTACATGACTACAAATGATACGGCATAACTGCACAAAACAAGATAGGTAGCAGTAAGGTTGATAGCTGTAGTCATTCTAATGATTAGAAATAGAGTGTTTTAATCATTAAGTTCAGTTCTAGTTACAAACGTCAACAAAGTATACGTCACAGATGTTGACGAATAAGAAAAAAAACAAGCATATATATATCAACTATTGTGCATGTCACTACTCTTACCAATATTAATGATGTAGAAACTCATAACCACATACATTCAATAAAATAACCATTGTTATACTTGAAAAACGGTTTACATCCTCAAAAAACAATCACAAGACGGCGAAAGAGAAAAAGTGGATGGCTTACCGACCATCAGCCTCTGCAGCACCTCCAGGAGTAAGTGATTTAATGAATATGCTTAATTTCTGTTCACCAGATGAAGTATCAACACCGGAACCAACTATGCTAATACCGAGACCATTTATACCTAAATAGAAACAAATAACGCAAATAAATATACAAATTAAACAGAAAAGTTATGAAAAACGAATAAAATTACAATGCTGAGGAGTCCCATACTGGGACGAAATAGCCGTTTTCAATGGTGGTCTAACATTGAGCCATTCATGATTTCAATCAAAAGCATCAACAACCCTAAACTGTTAAACAAAATTAATTTCGATTTGAAAATTATGAACAAAATGCTATGATTAACTTGAATACATGATTATATATATATATATATATATATATATATATATATATATATATAACATCCACAGACTTGACTTTATACGTATAAACTTTTAATGTCCGGTTTAGGAGTGTATTTCATTTTTTTTTATTTTATGTAATACACACTAGTAACGTTTAATATAAAATGTTAATTTAATAAATAAATAATTTTCATACAACTTTAACACACAAAACAAATTGATTTCATACAAAACAATTACGAATTAAACAAAATTTAAGACATAAAATTAAATAATATAACATAATAAGATATCAAACGTGTTTTTTTCCAAAGAAATACCACCCAATATAAACAACAAATAGTAAGAATAGTTTTTTACTCTTACTAAAAAGTAATTCAAGAAATAAATTAAAAGTGGGAATAAATTTGAAAAAATGTCAACTAATTCGACTGAAAATGAAGAAATAAGCGTATAACAACTATGTACAACATCTGTTTGATTCACTTGGTGTTGTTTTACTTGTGTATCGCCCTTTTGTTATTTAGGACTGCAACTGATCAGTTTCATGTTGGCATATGTGCATACTGTGAGGATTGCCTCGCTATAGCCTTAAGTCACAAGCTTTTTAGCAAAAAGATGGATAGTGGTTAGCAGTGGAATCCATGAAGCGCGCTTTGTCGTATTCGGGACTAGTCAGTTGAAAGTACCCGCATGAAAATGATCAATTGCAATCCTACATAACAGTGGGAAGATACAAGTAAAACAAAACCAAGTGAATTTAAACTTTACCACATTGCACAAGCAGGTGGCCATCAGGACTCAGTAGCTAAGTGGATAACGCGATGGCGTTTGAAGCGAACGGTACTGGGTTCGAGTCCCAGAGTGAACATCAATTCTGAGATGCAGATACATCCAGCTGAAGAGTCCCAAATCGGACGAAACGTACGCCCTGGATTCCACTGCTAGCCAATCTTTGCTTAAAAATATTTCATAATCTCTGAATAATAAAATGATCCGTTCAATACTATTCTCATTATTATCAGATATCTAGCCAAATCATTAGATACATAATGAAGGGAAATAAAAAGTGATTGTCAGAAAAATCACAATTAGACTAGTGGGATGAAAAAAATTCTCAAAACTGAATTCTATGCTAGAATACGTAAACGAAGAATACATATTAGGAGGGGACATCAGTAAAAGAAAATCATTTCGTTTGTAAGACATGAACAACAAACACTAAGGGATGAAGCGATCCCAATTCATTTTTCATATATACATTGGGTCGTTTAAGCAAAAAAACAAAACGCTGCACAAATGCAATTTTTGTGTAATATAAGAATGTGATAACAAACTATTCCGATCTACTACGTAGATGTTTTAATTTGGCTCAATCAAATTTAAAATTTACGTGGGAGCATCAATTTCGAAATAGGAAAAATTACTTGAACCTAAATAAGTATCACTGTCACGTTTTATTTACTATTCCCTTTTTAGGCAAACCAATATTTGCACTTTAACAGCTTTCGTCTGATATAAAAGTTATATTGGGATGTCGTTTTCACTAGCGACAAGAACAGAATCGATTGACGGCGAAATGGAAGCGATTCAGACTTTACTCGAGAACATTTATCTCATGAAGCTAATCAATAAGGACTGTAAGTCAACAAATGAGATTTTGCGAAAAGAAATCGGCCTTAAAAGGAATATGGTTATTTATTCTCTTAAGAAGTGACTTACACTAAGCCACGAAACGTCAGAAAATCTAATCTTCTACTCATTGGGATATTACAAATATATTATTTATTTAAAAGGAATATGTTTAACAAACTTTAATTCAAAAGGGATAAACATACAGTGCAGAATAACTGACGACGAAAAGTCAGAATTGCAGACTTTTCTTACCGACAACTCAATTATCACATATCAAACAAAAAAGCCTGATCAGAGTCTAATTTAGATAAAAGACCACCTCTAGTCACAGCTGTATTTACCTGAACTTCCAATACCTCTTATGTTGGAATAACAAAGAGGACGTTATCAAAGAAGAACCTAATAATAAATTACCCTAAATTACCCAGGAGTGCCATACGACAATATAATGGATAAAAGTCACTCAACAGATCATGATACTGGTTTTCGATTGATAAATAGACAGAATAACAGTAAAATTCTACGTTACATAGAAGCAGTAACTGGTCGATAATTTTGCAAATAAAAAGAATTTTGGGTTCGATTAGTACCGTGATGGTGATCGATTTATAGCTATCCTGTTTTGTCTCCTTCTTCCAAAATTGGTTTAGGGGCTTTCCGCTTTATTTTTTGACATATAACCTTCCATTACGAACATTATCCTATCAACTTTTATTTAATCATAATAATACCTTTATTGTTCATTTTAATCATTTTTCCATTTTTTAATTTAGTTACATTACAACTAGTTATATCATTTTAACATCATTCAACAAAAAGGTTAGCCCCTATCATTTTAATTATTCAAATAATTACATGTTTTCATACCCTCTTCAACTATTATCATCGCCATCATTATAATTACTTTACTAGTGTCCCTTGGTAATTACGATCAATCTGATTACTTTGTCTACCGTAATCATAATAATTTGCACATGTTGCTTCCGATTGATGACGTCATCATTTTTTCTCACAAAAGCGTTTATTTTGTTCCTTTGTTAACTGAATTTGTATGAATGTGAAGGGTATTTAAATTTATTTTCTACTCATGAACTACATGAATTTCTGCAAGTTATATACAAAATTACATTTGCAAAATATGGTATTTATTGATGAATGTGGGAGATTTAGAGCAAACGAAAAGAAATGAATGCAATTCATTCTACAAGGTCTGATATTCTTGCTTAACAAAGGCTTATTAAGGCAAATAACTGCATCAAAAACTATGAATAAACTACTTGATCATTTTATAATGTGGTAGGTGAACATTATCAAAGAGGTGTTCAATGCATAATTTATACAAAATAATTAAAGGGCATAGTACATTACATGATTTACTAGACAAATTAGATTTAGCCTATGGCTTTATGAGGCATTGGCGGACTTATTCAATTAAGAACTGAATAATAAATTGTTGGACAATTCTCAATATAACAATAAGGATTACTATTAAACTACAAAACGTTATAAAATAGAAGTTGATTGATATAATGACTTAGCTGAACGATTCGATCATATACTCACGGGACAGATCATTAAATTGCGATCGGATGGTTTATCAGAAGACGGAATCACTACGGAATCTACTGGATATATAGGTGGATATTGGATTATACAAAATATCATTTATATACAAACTCGTTAACCAAGTTTATAGGGCCCAACAAATACAAGAGTCTAATCACAATAATAATGAAGGTCACAATCTTTCAATTTTGCTCATTATGTAGAAAAAAATACAACAGTAATGCTGTAAATTTTTTATGTATCTATCAATGAATATGATACCGATAATCATATGATTATATATATATATATATATATATATATATATATATACTGACTTATATCATGCCACTTTGACAGTATACAGAGTAAATCCTTTAATCTGTATACACAGGCATTTCAACTATCATATACATGCTAATCAATATCACTGAATGCTTTACATACTGATAACTAATGGAACAAGGAGATTCGATACAAATAATAAGCTATAAGTAATACTAAGAATTATCGAGAAGGATTGAGAGATACGTAGAAAACGAACCAATATGTATATCAAAGTGCATATCTTTACTTATTATGACAAATTTCCAGTGACATTCACTATAACTATTAAATAATAAGCCTAAGTGAATGTGAATAGCATAAACAACACAATACATGATATTGGATCACATTTCTTAAAGTTAGGTGATCATGAGACAAACTCATTATTAGTGATTAGATGAATTCATCTGTTTTAATCTATGTACGCACACACACACACACACGGAGAGAGAAAGTAATTTACAATTAGAGGTATTTAATTAATAATGAATTTTTGAGTGAAATTTAAACAATAAAAGGATAATTAAATTATGATCAATTACTTAGTAAATAATGCACAATTTTGAATTGATGTTTTATTTCTTGCAGTATATAATGTTAAAATGTAGTATGTCTGACTATTAAATGAAAATGACAATATCAGTAGGATGGATACCGGTTTGTGTCAAAGAGTACTCGTGTAATTTACTCCGAACAGCTTCGAACGTATTGCAACTCATTTCAAGGATTGAATCACATAATTGTATCATTCAAACTTTATGTAGAATGAGATTTTAATAATTAAAATATTCATATTTCAACAACTAAACAATGGATTTAAACGGTAAACTTTCCACTAACAACTGTTTGTACAATTAACCAGTATCACTAGCCTTTATGTACAAAAAGTACAGTTTCAAATTCAACGTATATCAAACCATTGAATTATTTTTTGTACTTACAATTTTACAAAATACCATAAAGGAAAAGTATTAAGTGTACGTAACCGTATACAAATCTTAGGTAACAACATATGATGTAAGATGCTTGTTGGCTAAATAATTCGAAAACACATATTAACAGATGAAGAGAGGCAGGTCTGGATCGATAAGAATTCTAATTATCAAACATTTGGTAAATAAGAATTATTCAAAAAGGACGCAAAGTTCAAATTCATCTACAAAGGTAAATGGAAACTTACCAAATACAGTAAGCTTCCTTCACCTTAACATTGATGAAGTCATTATCACAAACCAGAACTGTGTATCCGAAGGAAGATTATTCAACGCCTACCATGGCCTTAAACGTTAGTTTACCAAAGTCACTACCTTCCCACCTTTCTTTCGTTATTGATTTTTTTATTCTTAACAAATCTATTTTTATTCTCATATCCATTCTGATTGCATTTCATTTTAATATTTCACCGTATCACTTTACGAAAACCTTGAACACAATTATCAAATTTTATCTATCTTATTGATAAGTATTCAAGCTCTTAATCACTGCATTTTTAGTTGGGCATTTCTGACAAGAATAACATTTTCATGCTCCTGTTTATTCTGCAACTCTGTCAACATGTTCAGTAAACTTTATTATCATCATTATCAACAAACATATTATTGATCATTACTTTGGAAAACATTCTATATTTGCGATTATACAGCCTTGAGAAGTAAATTCGCCGCAACAGCTAAAAAGAATAGCTCTTTGCACGATAATTGTGTTATCATTTAAACATATTCTTTAAATAACAATAAAGCAGATACTGACAACAAAACAAAATGTGACAACATAATCCTATTAGACAAATAAACAGATAATAAATTATTGTAGAAGAAATGAAAATGAATCGATTTGTCATATAGTATCTACGTGTAAAATCTATGTATTCTAATAGGCTCTAAACAAATGGAGACTAGGCAGTAAACAATGATTAATCTAATACAAAATGCTTTAGAAAAAAACTGATTTATGTTTATGCTTCAAAAAAACAATGAAGTGATGTATAAGTTACGATAGAACCTGAAACTGGTGAAATTTTTTTTCAATATAAAACTCGATTAAAAATAAAAAAGGAATAAAGATCATTCGTAAAATCGCGTAGACTTATCAATCACAAATAATTTGGCCTTATACAAGCTTTAATATACTTAAACTATACCGTTTGATTTATATGTGAACATTAATGTAAGGTTCAGGATTGTCATTTATGTTGCCGTAAACATATGCAGTGGTAACTTTGAACGATGAAAAATGTCCAACATAGTACAAAATCCGCACACACAAGGCACGAGGGAGAAAAATAGAAGTAAAACAAGTGAACACAAACACACAGCATATGCTTTTGGTCCTACATGTACATGATATAGAAAGAAACAAACCTTTACGGAAATCGATTTCAAACATATCCATATCTTCAAGATGTTTTTCTAATTCATATTCTGCTGAAGCAGACAATGGATCTATTTCTTCATTTCTACGATTATAATCTGTAGTAGAATGAGTACTGAACACCTACAACAGAGGTACAAAAAAGGAGAACATTACTAGATACATATGCAGCAACAATATTTTGGGGAATTAGTAAGAACTGAAAGGACTTTCGAAAAATAAACCTACATATATGAAAAGCAGAACACCGATGTAATTTCAGAAGGTATTATCTGTATATAAACGCCTGATACATTCAAAATATTTGCTTAACATTTGGTAAACTGGTATGAAACATTCTAGATAACTTCTACTAATAGGGAAAGAAATTATCAACCTCGAATGAATTAGAATTGAAAATGTAATGTCAGTTAAACATTTTGACGTAAAGCATATCTTTGCTTATATATAAGAGAAACATCAAACAATATCCAGTGTTTACCGAAAATACGATCGAATTTGATAAAAATGTAATTGTAGTTCATCATGGTCACTAATAAATAACCAAGTTGTAGAACTTACACACGATTTGAGTAACGTAAGTACAACATCAAAAGAAGTTAAGTAAAAAATTGTCTATAATAGTTTTCTTCAAATTAACTAATATTTACCATATCTTCATCTGTTTATACTTTCTCAAGGTGTATCGTCTTATTAATTTACAATCACTGAAGTATTTCAATACAAATTGTCCGACAACAGACTTTCTTCAAAAAATTTTCTCACGTTCTTTATAGAAAAATTTCATAAATGTTAAACTTAAAGTTTAGGGATTTGTACGATTTCTGTTTTCTATTTTTATAAAATTATTTAATATCAATAAATCTATTTTGACAAATACAATATTATAATACAGTGTAAATTACTTACAGAGTATTGGTTCGTGTACCTGTCTTTAAGTCACACACTGGATGTATGGTGGACAGAGATATTAACCGATTTTTCAAAACAAGGTAAGTGGAGAGGAAATTAAAATTTCTAAACTTCTAGGTGAAATTAAGCCTGTGTAACAGCAATAAATTTTCCTCAGGGAAAAAGAAACATAATTAAGGTTATCCTAATATTCATTTTATTAAAAATGTAGAAGTGGACATTCCCATCACTTGCGCATATACGAACACAAACTAACGGTGAGACGACACGATATGTTAGCACTGATATCAACGTATGTAAACAATCACAGATATGAATTCGACTGGAGAAACATCAAAATTTTGGCTCGTTGAAATTTTAAAAAATTTAGAGAACCCCTAGAAGCAAGTTATTCAGATTAGCCAGGAATCAACAAACAAATAGAGACAGATCCGATTCGTCGATCCATTCGAAAAGGGTTGGTCATCCACATGATTAGAGGTCAGTAGAACAAGACAGTTAAATTGAATGCAGGATTAAATGAGGACAAGATAACCTACGGGGACAACCGATTGCAAGCAGGGTCATCAGAGCATGCTGATTTAGCCCCCGCTTTTACGAGAATTAAGCATTATTGGTGTATTATTTTGAAGCTAATGTTCGAAAAGAGTGAAATTATTAGGGACAAAAAGGGCAGAAAGTTTGTTTTTACTACAAAGGTTATTTGGAACAATAACAAAAAAAGTGAAGTACAAATCAATATAAGCTAACAAAGATGCACACATCACTTAGAGTAATAAAGCAAGTTTACATGAATATTTGCATCACAGAGTGTAATTAATTCATGCTACAAATGGTAATCCCTATATTTAAATATAATGCAACTATCAATTGTTATAAACATTAGCATATGAACGAACCTGGGGTGACCATAACACTATAAAAACTATTATCAACACTTTTTAGAAAGATATGTCTACTGATACGTATTGATTATGATGGATGAGTGATACAAAATCAGTTGCTCAAAGCAAGGAGTAATATTACAAGGGATGACCAAGCAGCTGATAGATGGGTGATATACTAAAAGTCACCGGTATGGCATTTTAATTATTCACCTAAGGTTGGAAAGCCGATTGTGAGCATTCCCACAACTTAAATCAAGATCCTTAAATACACATGAAAGTTGAGTTTAAACTAACTAAGATTAACATGCGAAAAGTATTTAACTCCAATCTAATAACTATGATAAAGTTATTCCTAATCATCAAATGCATAACTAACATTTTAATTTGTAGTAGTGTTCAAATAAAAAAACTGAATAAAAAAGCATCAATTTTCAGTCAAATAGGTAAGTATAAAAGATGTAAAAAATGAAAAAGTTAAACATTAATAGTGCAATATGCTGAACTGTAAGCGTACTTTTACAAGCGGAAATCAGATGAACATTGAATTTGATCTATACCAAATAGAAATGATGTTACAAGTAAAAATTGTTCTCCTATGAGCCACTAAACAAAATTATTAATCATGAACTTGTTACTGAATACAATGATTATCTAGTCGGTTACTACAAGGTCAGTTTTTAATATAGTTATCAACTACGTAGACATGTGGAAACAATTATTAATGACATTTATGATGTGTTTAACAACACAAATTCATATATTCAAATAAAATCAGTTAATATGAAAGGTACACATTATAAAATCAGTCAATTAGCGAGTAGTGTAAAATACAAAATTAGGGAAGATATAATATCAGAAGGGGTTTTGTGGAGATTTTTAGAAATTTCAATAGTTGAAATCATAAGTCAACTGAAGCTAGATCACCATGGAAAACCTGGAAGCATTGGTGGTCTAGCTTCAGTTGACTCATGATTTCAACTATTGAAAATATAATACTGAACTGGTTATTCAAATTTATAATACACGAATATTATACACGTCAGCTTTCTTTGGAGATTTCTATAATTAAATGATTTTTTGTGAGACAAACTTATACCAGCTGTAAAATAGCTGACAAATGCACAGTGAGTTAACTGTATAAATATGTTATCCTGGTTCAATAAAAGCCAGAAATTACAATACGAACTCAGTTTTAAAAACCTGAATTTTTACCAAGGATTTTTAAATTATTTACACTTATTAACTTTGTTCGACTGAGGAGGGGGGAGCATCTGATCTAACATTCTATACCATGTAATCAAACACTAATAATATTACGCAATGATTGATATTTCTTAATGGCACTGTCGAGTTTTTTTATATCACGCAAACAGAATTGACCTTTTCTCTTGATAACTTGAAGTCAGTAGTCGAAAACCTTATGTTTATGCATTTCACTAATCAATATAACTAGATATTTAAACTTCTAACCATGGATTGCAATTCCTTAGTGAATACAAGTGTGTGCATGAGAGCGCACACTTGCATACATAACGTAAAGTTAATTGATACAATGTCAATGTTTAACCATATCATATAACAAACGTTACAAAATATTGAATTTTTCAATCTACATAATGCGTAAAAATTTTCTTGACCATGACAATAGAATCTGTAAACTGAGACAAATAAAGAATTCAGCAAAGAAATAGCTAGGGCTGAAAATAATGTACTACTTAGACCAAGCATAACAATTTTATTAAATCATACATTATAAGTTGATATATAATAAACATAAAAATTAGATTGTTAAAACTGATTATAATATATAAAACCCTAATCAATTTGTTTTCAGAATAACAAAAAATAGGTTACATTGAAATTATTGTTTCGGTTGCACAACCTATTTCAATCAATTTTTTAAGCATCTATTCTATAAAATGTTACAAATATAGGCTACACAGTTCTTTTCATCAGATGGTCGATAAACAAAAAACTGTCCAACGTTAGTATGGATAAATAAAACTAGATATATCCGATTGTTCAGTTAGAATGCACATGTGCAAGTAACTTTTTTGAAAAATATTGTACATATAAAACAAAAACTGATAGTTAATAGTTCAACAGCATGAAGCATTCATTGTACAATGATATCTAGTTAACGTATTAATTGCTCAACTACAAGTGATCAGTTTTATTATCTACTCCGTAGCGACGTTCACATTACAACGATCAACATGAACTATCGTTAACCTAAGTAAAGTGGTATGTTCTATGCAAGATGTTATGTAATTGATGAAGAGTAGCCGAGAAACTTATGGATTGGTAGTCATGTTGCCACTAGGGACCAGTGAACTTGAAATAGTCAGTTGTGTCCAGAAAAAACTAGCAATGTCTTTGGTTATGACAAATGGTAACTGGTTGTAAACCTGCAAGGAGCATCAGTTTCCCTAAAGTTGGTGATAACCATTTATTGATTAGTGGCAACGAAGTCAAAACTATGATTCAAAAAATCCTAAAAACTACCGTAAATCAACCACATTCTATTTTATAAATAAAAAATGGACTGAAGCAACTATAGCATATTTAGTTTAGATTTATCCTACTGTCAAACGAGATAGCATTAATTTGACACCATTTTATATTTTTCAAAATACCAACAATTATTTTAGCTCATCATTTGTTGTAATTATCGGAGTTGGTTTACAACGGACAAAAGTGAAGTAAGATTTATGGAGATTCGTAATGGTTCAGGTTTCTCATATTTTGAGATATCACGGAAAAATCTGTCAATTCAGTGGTCCCAATAGTAGTAGAGAACGAAACAAAAAATAATATTTAACAAATTACGATGAGGGGATGTAAGACAAAATAGTGTAAGATTGAAGATCAAGAGGAAGAGAACTGATGGCAGAATGTCCCATAATGTAAACTATTTTGAGTTATAGCTCGTTAAGTGTCAAACAATCGACAATTCTTGTACCACTTGCTTTAACAAGAAAGCTTGAACTTACCTGTATAGTTCAGATTTGAAGCCACTTCATTTGAGAGGAAAAATGAAATAGCTAAATTACATTTAAAATCAAGATTATCTCTGGATTGCGATATTCATATTTCACAACAGTGAAGAGCTACACAAGCATGAAACGCAAAGCGTACCTACCCATTTTACTGCTTATGATTATACTAGTAATCGAAGTATACGTGGTTTGAAGTAATATTTTGCAGTTCTGATGAGAGTGATGGAGTCAAAAATAAATGAATTTAAATTGTTTTGGGGGGGGGGTAGCACTTTTTAATATACAGAAAGCAGTCTATGTTAACAAAATGAAAATATAAATTATAGAACCCATAAAAAAATCTTACCAAGATTGGCTCAGAACTAAATCGAACTCTCGGTTGTTTGACTAGACTATCACTGCTACCTGAACGTTTGTTGACTAACTTCCTTGTAGTTATTGATTTTGGTGAATTAGATGATGAAGATACTGAAAGGATTTTGTCCATATTTGTTTTAACGTTTTCTTCATCGTTTACTTGTTCAGCGGTATATGAAGGAGATATTAAGTCGGAAATATTGGTAACATCCTCACGTGAGTCATAAAAATCTGAATCATCTGAATACTTATCAGTTAAGCCAGGAAGAGCGTACAGAAAATTACCATCTTCAAAAATATGAACTCCATCGTCATCAACTGTTAAAAGAGAAAAAAGTATCATAAAATTAAAGATTATCTATTAAAATATGATAAATTAGAGAAAACTTAATTAAACTACAGAAGTAGTATGCAATACAAGAAAAAAGAATTGAGATGGTTTTGACTGAATCAACCAATTTTTTACCTACACACTATATTGCAGCGAACACAACGACATACTACATATACTTAGATATCTGACAGTGAAAAATGACATGTTAAATATCATAATCAGCTAATCAATATTTCTAGTTTAATGGAATTCATAAACTAGTGTTTGTATTGTGTTGTAACGAATCGTAATATTTATGGGAAACAGAATCCATGGATACGTTTTTCTTATAATTAGTCAAAAAAATAATCATGTTAAGTAATCATTGTTTATTTGTTGAATATTATACAAATTTCAAACAGGAATGTTGGACTATTTGTCGCACTATAAACGTATAAGTACATCGTTTATTCGTTAAGTTACTTAAAATATGTCATACAAAAATCTATCATTTGAAGCAAGAACATAAGAAATGGGGAAATCTTTTAAACATCTGACGAAAGAAACGTTTGAATATTTCAACTATATATTAAAGAAAGAGAACCTTTTGTAACACATTAAACGAAACATTGATAAACAAAAAGTAATATGTTAACCCTGGATAAATAAAAATTATGTCAGGAATCTTCATTTGTAGTTTTTACTGCTACAAAGCTGAGAATTTATCTCTATAGTGTGAAAAGTTTAATTACAAAATATAACTGTATTATGTAAAAGGGAAAAATTTCATGTTAAAACATGCTAATGCATTGTGAACTGGATGTAATAACTCCCAGTCTCGATTCCGATACGTAGACATCACAATTCCTTATTCTTCCGTAAACCCAGCTACTTCCGAAAGACAGGTCTTATGATAAAAATTTATTCAGTAGAGATGAAAGAGGGAGCACATACGCACAAATATATACGCGTAATCACATTGAAAACGTAGTGTATTAAAAGAGCTACTAACTAATAAGTAAAAGCATCTTTGATCGCGGTAAAATAAAAAGATGATTTCTGCCTAGAGATTTGCAGCAATGAATCTTAAATTAAAATATATAAAGTAAGCTACCAAAATAACTAGTGAAATGTTTTTTGGGGATTGAAGATTTGCAACATGCAGAGAATTTAAAACAGAGTAGTAAATCATTAAAAATATACAGAATATTCAAACATATATTTTATTCATAAGATATAGTCTTACTCGTCTTCTAGTGTACAACGTTTAAATTCACCCAGTCAGTTATAAACAACGTACACTGTGGTACTAACGTGCATAGATGAAACTTATCAGACGTCAGCATTAGTACATAGCTTAATAAAAACAATGAACAACCAGTATTTTGTCAGCGAATATTTTTTCCCATAAGAAAGACGATTAAAAATGAAGATAAATCCACAGTTCACATTACTTGATGTATTACTGTTATAATATTGTTTTTACCAGTGAATATATTAAATAGCTTAAAAATGACTTTAGTGACAAAAATGTTGGGAGTTAACAAAAAAAGACTTATCTTTATACAGTTATTTGCTTTTAAGATAAAACATTAACTTACATCAATGATATTTTTATGACTTACATTAATATTAAACATATAACAATATATTATTATGTGAACTTATGCATAATGCATTACAATTGCATGACATTTCAGTCTTTTTGTAATTACGAAAAAAAAGGATTGACTTCAAGCATAGGTTGACATAAAACGAAATGAGCACTGGATAATTATATCTTAACGATAATCAAATAAGTATTATATCTGGGAAATCACTAGACATATACACGCACAAATAAGCACAATAAATGACTTTATTGAACATTTTGATAAATATAAAATGAACTACCAAAAGAAAAGAATGTTCAACGTTTCAGAGGACAAATGACTTAAGTAAAAAAAAAGAAGGCAATAGAATAGAGTGAAAAGAAAACGACAATAAAACAAAAATGAAGCATTTTATTAAGAATCATATTTCAACGACAACAACAAAAAGTAAATACAGTCCATTTTTAACAACAAAAATAACAACTTAAAAATTGAATATTCGAAAAGTATTTAAGTACAAATAAAAAAAACGATGAAAATAAAAGTGGGGCAGTTATTCTTATAATCTTAGTGTACAATATTATTTTAATTATAAATGTAAATAAATAAAACAATTAAATAAATAATGAAAAAATATACAGAATAAACATGAATACATTAATAAAATTAAATAATACAACACTATACAAACACTAGTCATAATATGTATAGTTTTATATGATAATAAGAAATATTATGTAAAGAGTAATAGAAAATGCAACAACTGAATAGTCATTTATTAATTTACAGAAGTAATTGTGCATATTACGATTTACTTATATGGTGTTAAATTGATGGTACAGCAAGGAGATATGGTAAATTCAATTCAAAGCATTTAACGTTAAATGAAAATAAATTAATACTAATTGGAATAATTACTTAAAATACGAACCATGTACCATTAAATATTAATAGGGTATCTGTGATTATTTAAATGCAGTATAAAATGAGATCAATTTATATGAGTGCCTATTTTTTTCAATCGAAATGAGATTAAAAAGGAAAGTGAAATATTTTTCGTAATTAGGCAATAGTATTTTTTAGATAAGATTTCAACTTACCTGCCACAACATTCAATCCTTTCGGAACAGGTAAAGTGATCAGTGGATTAAATGATGTGTTACACTGAGATGAACTAATAACAATTTCAAAAGAGTTTTCAGTATTGTCAATTTTTTCATCTAAACCATCATCATCATCTTCAGCATTAACTGCAACAGGTTCAGCATGTTGTAGTACAGGAAGATCATCAATGTTATCTTTACATACAATTTCGGGAAATTGAGACTTGTGAAATGCTTCAGGTCGAATTACAAAATCCTACAGAACACAATTAATAAATCGATAATGAAATAAATGAAAACAAAAGGAATGAAGCTTAGTACAATAAAAAAGTCACATAGCACATAACCGAGAAATCTGGGTTATGTATTTGATTATTTGTTAGAAGTAAGAATTAACAAAAGCCCTTGATAGATGAACTCACTGTTGGTTTAATAAAATAAATAAATTAATACTGTACAATACAGTTGTAATTTACAACTAATCTAACTAAATACGTATACCAGAGTGAGAATATGGAAAAGTACAAAGATTTAAAATAATAATAACAATAATAATAATACTAATAACCTATTTTGTTGACTGTATGTATGGGCAAACAATGTATTTCAAACATTCCCATATAAAAAATCTTGAGTTACGGAGAATAAAACGTATTTAATTTAGATTGTCTGAGATGTTTCTAATTGATCGATTGATTTACGTAGAAATAGATGAATACATGGTTGAGGTGCTTACTGCAGTTCAAACAATAAAGTGACTAGGTCGATGACACGGGTCAAATAATATTAAAACAGCTACAGAAATATGGGTAATAATACAATGTTGTTACTTAGAAAAAAATTGCTGAAGGAACAGAGGGTACAAATACACTTAACTCTCAAATCCCAAAGACTAGTTGTTTTGTAATTTTATAAAAAAATCTCAAAATAGTATCACTGTTTTATAGAAGAATTGTATTATACAACTTCTATTCTTTCATCATTAAAACGTTATTATTATTGATTGTGACTTTTGACAGACCCGATGAATCACTAAAAAAGAATTTTCGTAATGAATTTTTAACAGTACAAGAATTGACTAATTTTAGAATTCAGCCGGTATATTTGCTTCACTAAAATACACTTGATTTCCAAAATGCCGTTTGGAATGCTATTAACCGAACATTCAATAGAAACACAAATATGTGCAAAGATAGTGTTTAAAGTGAGAACAAAAACTTTGAATTATTTAATGCCATACCTGGATATCCGAAGAATTTGATATTGTACATTGATGATCAACAGAAGAATTGCATATGCTAAAACAACAGTAACGAATTAATAAAAAATCACTATGTCAAATGTTTTGAAATATATGGTAAATATCATCTAATACTGGACAGACCAACTGAATATATGGAATAAATGAGCATGAGAGCAGTGACTGTTCAGACTAAGTTATGTTAGAGAGTATGAACTTCCTGGTCGATGACTGTGAGATAATAGAATAACAGGTAGGTAAATTAACTCATTCATCAGGCAATCGAATATCAGAATGAGAGCTAATGCTACCACCCAGCTTCCCAAACCGAAGTAGCTGCAGTGTGGTTCGAACCCGGAAATTAATGGCCGGAAGTCAAAAGCCTTGACGATTAAACAACTACTCCGCGTTTATTTGTAATAATATTCAATAAATACCAATGCATATTACCAAAGCATATTAATAGTTTGTAAAGTTATAAGGATGATGAGTAGCAATTTACAGTAAGATAAAAAGTAGACAAATAAATACTGACTAGCATAATTTAATTAAAATTATATCAGAAGAAAGAAACAAACAGATACTTTTTCGAATACACTAAATTGAAAAGGTGAATCTTTCAAGGTTTCGAAGTTCAGTAAGTGTACTAGTATGGATAACCGAAGGCTGGACAAAAAAACAGTATTTACATATGACGATAATGATAAGAAATTACGAACAGTTAGAAGATTGATTTAAGATCTTTTTTATCCAAATAAGTATAAAAGAATGCTTACTTCATTATTGTCTAGTTTAGAGTGGATATGATGAAATCGGAGTATATTTGAAAGATAAATGTGAAACAGAACACTACACAAGTAGGGAAAATCATAAATCCAAAAAAAAAAAAAGAAGATTCAATAATCTCTTGATATTTGAAAATACAGCATAGCAACAATGATTCTCATTAGAATAATAATTTGTTCAATAAATAAGAACCATTTGTTTAAAGGGTCACTTACGAATGAGTTGATTGTGAATTTAAATTTTCGGAGGGTTGAATGGCTGTTTCGTAGGATTGGTGATGAGCTGAAAAATTTTTTGAGAATAAACTAACCATAGAAAATTTGATTGATTCAAGTAAATGATTAGAATAAAAATATTTAAGGATGATTCCTATCAGTTAACTTATTGAATAGTAATTAGCTTATTAATACATCATAAAATTATGAAGACCATTAAACACTATTGCCTTGAAGTAGTTATCATATCTGTTTTCATCACAAACTTATTGTAATTTAAGCACGAGCCTTCGATCCTATTTTTGTACCGTAAATGCCCTATTTTGACATTTAATGTATTAGTTTATTTATTGTGCGTTGTGGTTCAACCATTCATATTTAGCCACGTACTCTCCGGTGTTAAAATAATAATCGGATATAGAGGTCTCTACTGTAAATGTATTTTCTTTTCCCAGACAATGAATAGGATAAGTTCATTGCCCTCAATATTATGCTAACTAACCTACGGTATTAACCCCATTAACTAGCTCCAAAGTACTTCTCCCTGCATACCTAAAGGCAGAAACAGGGGGGAGATTAAGGTTAGAAGTGATTTAGTGAGATGTAACAGTTAATACTAGTATTACTTCCGCCGATTGATTTGGTTACATTTATATTTATTTATGACTGATTGTATTCAATCATTTAGTGGATAGTATAATTTAAAAGACTTTTAAACTATTCATTTTTAATTTAGCCCATTTTTCATAGTTATGTTCTTAGTGAAGTTGAAGAAAGACTGAATTATTAGAGAAATCTAATACGACAGTAAGAAGAACTCATCATCTGATTTGAATAAATCCCAGTACATTGGTGAACTCTACTAACACTTATTTACAACTGATTGCTAATAAAGATTCTAACAATGATTGGTAACATCATTCATTTAAACTAGCAACATAACCTGCTTAAAGAAGCTGGCAAATAATTTGTAACGTAGTGAATTCATTGAAGTTGGAAGTGAGGATCCGTTACATACGTCAACTTCATAATCTAACTGTAACGCATATAATGGAAGCCCCAATGGTTGTAGGTTAGATGCCTGGCGAGGTTATAGGCGTGCATTATTGAGGAGGCGGCCTATGTCTGTGCGAAGCACCTGTCTGATCCCTATTGGTTTTTGGTTGTGTAACTACTACCAGTTCATAAGATAAAATATCTCTCAAAAACATGAGTATATACTAGTACGTACCATCATTATTAATAGTATTATTTACATCATTTTCAGTCGCCTTCTCAATCTTGTTAGACGAATATAAAGGAGTTATGGAAGCATAAGAAAAACATTCAACAGGATCTTTGGATGTTTGTTGCGGTCCTGCTTTGATAATAGTGACAGGAGTTGAATTTCGAATGGTAGTTGAATTTGACGAACTTCCATTTACTTTGACTGTCGACGGTTGATTATCTATGCTATTAACAGCGTTAGTAATCGAATGGCTTAATAAAGATGAAAAAGGAGGTAAAGAACATGAGGTTTAAAGAATAATTACCCAAGTGCTACACATTAGGGAAGAATGCACTAAACAAGAAACGAAACGAGTGAGAATTGTGGTCGGTCGATCACTTATGTAACCACTAAAATAATGGGTTGATTGACTGAACAAGTATAAGCAAAATACAAACTGACAAAATGTCTGAACAACAAATATAACATTTGTAATTAAATGGTAAAAATGGGAAGACTTCAAACTGTGATTGAAGTGAATAAGAAATTCTTGTCTGAAATTACGAGGATAACCTTAGTCAATCCAGTTAGCATAGAACCTGACACTAATGTGGGTTGGCCCCCAAATGCCCTGGTACGGCCGAGAGTAGGGAGAGTCAGCTCTCCCTCTCGAAATGCTCTCACATGGCCACGCGTATACAGCCTCTGCCAGGGAAGTCCTACTCACTGCCTTCTCGTGGCGGGAATGTTGTCTACGAAAATGAGAGGACGAAAAGCGAATGTCCGGCGCTTTAACCGGATCCCAAACCAATGGTGCACATGGGCTCCAGTATCCTGAAGGAACAAATGGCGTATGAACCAATCGTTGGTCACCGGCTACCATGGGACTGCATCTCCTCACGATGCTCCACTGCCTTGTGGATCAGACGTTCAGGTCAAAGGCTCGGGGTGTGGCCCCCTAAGAAAACCACCTGCTTCGGTTTGGGCACCCGAGCAGTATCACAGCCCTCACACAAATCAATTGAGAATCGTGTGGCGCATATGTACTTGGTGCCTCCTTGTACCAATACCTATGTGTTAAAATAAATAAAATGTGGGTTGACTCAAGATGCCACATTATATTAGCACAACGAGATAAAAATAACAAGACAAATAACAAAAGATTGAAATAATTTGGTAGTAATGATAATGAGAAAGAATGAACATAAGGAATATGGTACTAAAAGACAGTTGAAAGGTGTGTTTGAAGGAATATTGATATTGAAAATCTAGAGGAAGATGAAACATGAATGTATCTGTCTCATTTCATCCAAAGTCTTTAGTCACAGATCGCAGTTACCACGCGGATCTCGACCAGGTAGTCTGCATCTAACATAGTTCAGAATCATAGTTAATGATTTTATGCACTGGTGTGTTTTGGTTTGGCAGTCCCTAACTTTCGTGAAACATACTTCTAGATCACCAAACATCGGCTGTCGAGGCAGGTGGTGGTCATTGAGGACTACCTACATATTCATTAATTCTGTCTACAGAGAATGTAGCAGAGTGATGCTAAAGTCCACGCTACTTCATGATGCGGATAATAGTATACACTTTTCAGAAAAAATACAAGTACCCATGTATATGGACATTAGTATCACGAAACATCGCAATGAATGAATATAGCACCCAACAAAAATATGAAAAGAAATTCAACTTCAATACTACAATCAGTTGTTATGTTTAGCGATTTATATCCATTATCTTCAAAGATAGTGGGAGAAAAGCTAGAACAAAGCGATAGTGATAATTTATTTGGGTATCTTTTTATGAGAATATTTGGTCCATATTATTATTTATATTACTAACGCTTTACTGAGTGTAAATCACATTATAAGTAACTTTTAAAGCACTATACCTTTGTGTTACTCAATGATCTTAAAACGGGTCTAATAAGGTAATACAAGTTGTTATAATTTTGTTAAGTGGAGACAAGTGAGTTTTAAGTAACTACTTATGAAAGTTTTAACTCACTAACTCTTTACATAAGATAACAATGTTAATAAGTTGTAATATGTTACACTTCCTGATGCCCCCAAATGCTCTGGAACGGCCAAGAGTGGAGAGAGTCAACTCCCTCACGAAATGCTGTCCTATGGCCACGTGTATACAACCACTGCCAGGGAAATCCTACTAACTACATTCTCGTGGTGGGGGTGTTGTTTACGAAAGTGAAAGGATGAAAAGCGAATATCCAGCGCTTTACCCGGTTGGCGGATATGGAGAATCCACCTGGGGGAATCGGAAAACCCGGATTCCAAGCCACTGGTGCATGTGGGCTCCAATATTCTGAAGGAACAAATGGCGTATGAACCTGTTGTTGGTGACCGACTACCATGGGACTGCATCTCCTGACGTTGCTCCACTGCCTTGTGAATCAGACTTTTAGGTTGAAGGTTCTGGGTGTGGCACCATAAGAACACCACACGCTTCGGTTTGGGCGCCCTGGAAGTATCCCAGCCCGCACACGATTCAAGTGACTTGTATGGTGCATATGTGTTCGGTGCCCCTTTGTACAAATATTTATGTTTAAATAAATAAATAAATAAACACTTTCTGATCATTTAACGCCATAGAGCTCGATAAGAATCCGAATTGTGACAAAAATGTTACTCTGTTTCCGCTTAGGAGTAACTATCTCACCACATATTTCGTAGATATTCAATCAATTTAGAATGGTAAGAAATAAGTTTATGTATCACATGTATCCAGCATGAAACCAATCCAGAATAAATAAGAGTTTCAAAAGAAAGAAGTTGGTAGTAAATCCTGTTGTACTAACGACCTTTATTGATGATAAATTAGTTTGGCAAACATTAAATTACATTTAACAAATGTTTCCATATTAAAAAACGTTCGGGGTACAAATGAATATAAAAACATTTGGATCGATAAAACAGGGAATGGTTAGGTATACACATATTGCTTTCATGGTCCACAATAAAATTTGTACATATATATTAAACGCAAATATGGTTGGTATGAAATATACATACAATTTAATTGGAAACATACCTATAAATTTCCACCGGTTCTGTAACGCTATTACGAGATGCGTTTTCGGTAGTGATTTTTGAAGAAATCGGTTTTAGTTTCACCTTTAAAAAGGCACAATGAATGAGAGTTTGGGTCACAAAGGTAATGAAAGCAATGGCTAATTTAAGCGTCAATACTTATAAATGATATATATAAAACAATATAATTTTGACAAATGCAATTCGCTAGCGTTGTATGGAACTAAAAACATTTAGTCTCTTGTATAAAGTTGAATAAGGTGATGAAAAGAGGTTCTTTAGAACTATGCAATATGTTAGCGCAATACATTTCGAAGTATCTGATCACACACACTTGTTAAAGCGTATATGAACATAAAAAGTCAAATAGAAAAACTGAAAAGTAAGAGGAAGCAAGGACAATAAGGGACAGTGTGAGACACACTACAATGGACAATAAATCAATCTTACTAAACGTTCAAGGTGAGAGTAAACTTCTTTTTACCAAATAAAGGTTTGGATTTTCATGTGGTTAAGGGCCCCAAACAGTCGCATATACCCCATAACACTTATACAACATAAAAAATGTTAATGTTTATGTCAACCCTACAACCCATCTCCATTAAATATTTCGTAATGGCGGAAGTTGTTTGCTTATCCTGTGCTCTAAAATGATCATTGGAATTCATTTGTCTTTGTAGCCCCTATATGAGACATTAGAAACCCGTAAACAACAAATATTTTTGCGGAAAGTATTACTGAAAATTCACAACAGTCCCATTTGTAAGTGTGTTTTGACAAAAGCAACTTTTCAAATATTAGTTTATGGCGACAACAATAAGTACGTTCTCAATAGGAAACTAGAAGGTAATTTCACACCTGTCCAACTGCACAGTATGGTTGGACATACAGATTGAGGTTAAATGAAATTTACACTAGCAGCCCAAATGCCTTGGTACGGCCGAGAGTGGGGAGAGTCAGCTCTCCCTCTCGAAATGCTCTCACATGGCCACGCGTATACAGCCTCTGCCAGGGAAGTCCTACTCACTGCCTTCTCGTGGCGGGAATGTTGTCTACGAAAATGAGAGGACGAAAAGCGAATGTCCGGCGCTTTAACCGGATCCCAAACCAATGGTGCACATGGGCTCCAGTATCCTGAAGGAACAAATGGCGTATGAACCAATCGTTGGTCACCGGCTACCATGGGACTGCATCTCCTCACGATGCTCCACTGCCTTGTGGATCAGACGTTCAGGTCAAAGGCTCGGGGTGTGGCCCCCTAAGAAAACCACCTGCTTCGGTTTGGGCACCCGAGCAGTATCACAGCCCTCACACAAATCAATTGAGAATCGTGTGGCGCATATGTACTTGGTGCCTCCTTGTACCAATACCTATGTGTTAAAATAAATAATAACAGTATGGTTGGACATACAGATTGAGGTTAAATGAAATTTACACTAGCAGCCCAGGTATTTTTCATTTAAATCTGAAAGTAATCTACGAAGATTAAAATCACTTGATATTTTGGTTAGAAGGTTATCAATATTTATTGTCAATAAGCAGGTAAAAACATACTGTTTGTTAAAAAACAAATGATGTGGCATTCTTACCTCTTCAAGAACAGCAGGTTTCGACAAAGATATATGACGAGGCTTAGGAGGTCTTGTGGGTGGAGATTTAATGGGAGAAAGTGATTCCGGTATAGAGAAGCCTCCATCAACTGATCTGGATGACGTAATACTGTCAAAGGAAAAGTAGACCAACACAATTCAGTAGTAATTTATAGTAAAGTTATTTGAGACTTGTGAATATTATGACAATAAATTGTGAATATGATCAGAAAAATCTGTTCTACTGGTAAATAAAGGAAGTATTCAACGAATATTACGACACTCGACTTCGAAAGAAAAATTGGATAATGGCTAGTGAATTTCAGTGAGCGGACCACAATTTTATTTATTTACTTAAACACAAAAACATAGGTACAAGGAGGCACCAAGTATACATGCACCATACTTCATCATTAAGTTTGTGTAAGGTCTGGGATACTTCCAGGGCGCCCAAACCGAAGCGTGTGGTGTTCTTATGGTGCCACACCCAGAACCTTCAACCTAAAAGTCTGATTCACAAGGCAGTGGAGCAACGTCAGGAGATGCAGTCCCATGGTAGTCGGTCACCAACAACAGGTTCATACGCCATTTGTTCCTTCAGAATATTGGAGCCCACATGCACCAGTGGCTTGGAATCCGGGTTTTCCGATTCCCCCAGGTGGATTCTCCATATCCGCCAACCGGGTAAAGCGCTGGATATTCGCTTTTCATCCTTTCACTTTCGTAAACAACACCCCCACCACGAGAATGTAGTTAGTAGGATTTCCCTGGCAGTGGTTGTATACACGTGGCCATAGGACAGCATTTCGTGAGGGAGCTGACTCTCCCCACTCTTGGGAGTACCAGGATAATTGGAGGGGGCAGATCACAATTAATCTTAGAAACCACTAAATTAAGATGATTAACGTTTTCTGGTGGAATTTCAAATGAGCACTAAGATGCTTAAAATACTAAGGAATCGAGCACTCGTTTACTAGAAGAAACTTGAGCCTAAATTCCAGACAATTTTCAATGATTAGCTGTTTCTTTTTGTTGACTGAAAAAATAAATGATGACATTCGTTTATTACAACGAAAAAATTGATCGATCACTACTGAGGTGACCAAACTGGCCAACTCCTCCCGGAAGATATTTTCGTGTCTCAAACAAATTGATTCCAGAAGACAGAGTCACTGATCAACTAATGGATATACTATAGGACTAAAGCTGTCATTGATACACAAATAATACAGCTGAAATATTGAAATGATCGATATATAACCAATAATGCCACTATTCAGCTACCATATCTAACAACCTATGATAAACCAAAACTCCCAAATGCCCTGGTACGGCCGAGAGTAGGGAGAGTCAGCTCTCCCTCTCGAAATGCTCTCACATGGCCACGCGTATACAGCCTCTGCCAGGGAAGTCCTACTCACTGCCTTCTCGTGGCGGGAATGTTGTCTACGAAAATGAGAGGACGAAAAGCGAATGTCCGGCGCTTTAACCGGATCCCAAACCAATGGTGCACATGGGCTCCAGTATCCTGAAGGAACAAATGGCGTATGAACCAATCGTTGGTCACCGGCTACCATGGGACTGCATCTCCTCACGATGCTCCACTGCCTTGTGGATCAGACGTTCAGGTCAAAGGCTCGGGGTGTGGCCCCCTAAGAAAACCACCTGCTTCGGTTTGGGCACCCGAGCAGTATCACAGCCCTCACACATATCCAATGAGATCTGTGTGGCGCATATGTATTCGGTGCCTCCTTGTACCGATATCTATGTGTTAAAATAATAATAATAATAATAATAATAATAATAATAATAATAGTAATAATAATAATAATGGATAAATGCACTCATACGTTAAACTCGTGAAATGGAATGAGGTTGAATAACTTACTTATGCTGAGTCGATTCATTCTTATTTAGACTTATTCGATGATTGCGCAGAGTTTTCATAGGTGGGGACCCCGGAAAGGCTCTGAGTGATCAAATATAGTAAGAAAATCAATATTAACTCAGATAATTCCCAACTTCATAGAATATTCAGAGAAGACTAAGTAAAGAAATCATATACCTCATACATCAAGCGGGTAAAGTGAAATCAGGAGTGAATTTACATCATTAAAATTAATTATGAAACGTGTATAAACTTTTCAACGCCGCCATTAATTAAATTGAGTGACAGACTAAGAATTCCAATACAGATAAGACTAAAGAGTATTTTAATGTCCCCACTCCGTTGGTCAACAGTATTTGATCTTCGTGTTTAGTCTTTTAGAACTCATTATAGAGAATTTATTTTAACTGGGGAGCTTGACGCCATTCCCAGTACTTGTTTAACAGTGAAAGTTTGGGAAATTATTGCAGTCCTTAAAGTAGTTATAGCACATCCACAGTATACACCACACTATTGAAGTATAGTACAAAAGTGGGCGTTGATATCATGTAATAAAATTGAACAGACTGTCCGTAAAGAAGCATACTGAGTTTACAATAGTGGAGAAGGAACTTTATGTATTACTGTTTCACTCAGTCGCCTTAGTGAATGGAAACCTACACATAATCCACCTAATTATTTAGTTTCATACCACCTGCACAAACAAGCCAAAACCCACGAGCGAATAAATAGCAGCTAGCCTACCGGTCATACTGAAAAGTGATATCATGAACTTTATCAAGCGCTTTTATGATAAAATGTCTAACAATTCATCTCATACATGAGATCCATGTTTTTATAAAACCATGCACCAAGTAGTCTGAAAAACCATGAAACCAACCTTGGAAACCTTTCAAAATCAGGGCAGGTGTATGCTGAAAATACTGAGCTTTCTACATCAAACCCATCTTCATTATCGTCGATTGGCTTTACAACACCGGTTTGGAACATATCCCTCAAGCGCGAAACTCTTGAAAGTCTGCGAGGACACATATCTACCTTCGATACTGTTTCTTCGTTCCCATTTGCAGCATGCAAAGTGTCGCTCAGTACAGACATATCTAGTTTAGTAACTAAATGAACGCTGTCAACACAAGAATATCATCTCACTATAGATAACTCGAAAACCCGCCAAGAGGCTATAGTTGGTTAAGCGACCTTGCTTCGATTAAGTTCAATTAACAATCTGTCCACATGAAACATACTTGCATGATTTTGAAGTAAGTACATATACATGGAACAGTTTCCTTTTTTATGAAAGAACCAAACATGCAAAGCCAGCTGAAATTTATCAGTCATGCCATATCTCAAACCTATGACCAAGTCTCAGGTCAATCATTCCAGCAGTTGGCCAAACAGGAAACAAACGAATAAGTTCAGTCAATCAAAATTTACTGTGATAAAATTGAGTCCTTACTCTTATTATCAGTCCTAAAAAGTTAAACCAAATAAACTACAGTAAATGTATGATGGATAACCCATGCTTTCTCTTCAAGATACCAACGCTCATTTGCGAACAGCTATCTACAGTTCGATACAAACACTTTATGCATTGTTTAAAAATATTAGCAGGTCTGGTTGATATGTCAAGTCCTATAACAACCCATCTCATTTTGATGAGAAGTCAAATATCGGATCCACAACTTAATCCGATTAGCAGTATGCTGGTCCGTCGCTCGGGAGCGCAGAAATTCGATCGTTCTTAGTGCAGCTTGCTAAGAAGCAAATAGAAAAAGCTTCCGTCTAGCGAACTTCTGTTTCTAGCAGTTATGGATAGCCAATTTCTTTGTAAAAGTATCTCGGAATATGAAACCAGAGGAAAAGAAGTACAAATAGATTGATGTGAAATAAACCTGGTTTCCTAAGAGTGTACCAAGTCGTGACCAAGTCGTTTGTGAACTGTCTAGATCATAAAAAAGTAGGAATGAGAGGGATTGCAAACTCTTAAAACCTTGTGTGGATAGGCTACCTACCCATTTACATAAGGGTCATACAAACAAACAGGACGAAGAAGCGTTCCAAAGTGAAATCATAAACTACCTATGCATGAACTCCACGAGTTTACTCAGTCAAATGGATTAGCTACGTGAACTCAGCAGTGCTAATAATGCTCATCTGATAGGAATGTCTGAAACTTGAATATCTTCTCAGTTTACGGACCAGGGGCTAGCAATATCTGGGATGTCTTAGTCTCACAATGACAGATAAACGGGGACTGGTAGTGTACTAGCCTTATACTTACGATGTTACCCGGAGGTACATCAAGTGCACAACCAAGAGATTTTCAATCTTGATGAATCCTTATAGTGCCACCTAGAGGCGTCTTGTTGCCATCTACAGGACGACAACAAGATTCACTTAAATCCTGATTCTGGGGGACTTCAATCTTTCATAAGTCAATTTCGCGAAACATACGTACATTGGAGGTGAAAACTCTACTAGAGCTCGGTCCTTCAACCTCGTTGAAAACCTGGGATTATTCGAAAACCTGAAGTGGGCAACCCGTTGAAGAAACAGTCAGACGCCGTCGCACTTAGACTGGGTATTTACAAACAGAGAATTCCCAATTGACACCTTTCAATCCTGGCTCTCATGGAGAGGAGTGATCGCGCCGTCATAGCCTTTAGTTTTACCGGCAGAACTGAGCTAATACATCCTACCAACAACAGGCATCGTGATTTCAAACGGTTGAATTTGTCAGTTCTACGGGACAATATACAGCATGTGGACTGAGAAATTCACCCTCAGCTTGATGTGAATGCTCATTGGAATTTCTTCTCACACACGATTTTATGTGCTACAAAGCGTTCTGTTCATCGAACGGTCCCCAAAATCTACAAGCAACATGCAGTTGCCCAAAACTGCACTCTTCGATTGCTACACGCAAAAGTTACTGTTGGGCAGAATACAAACGATATGGTAACAACGGCGCATGTAGGCAATAAAAAAAAATGAACATATGTACGAAGGCAACAAGAGAAGTTAGGCTCATCAATAAATTTGTTTCCAGTCCAAAAAGCTTATTCCGTTATGCACCCTCTCCTCGACAAGCCAAAACTTGAGTTTCCCAACTGTTAGGTCCTAATGGCCAGAACAACAACGATGGTAACGCCGCTAATATTCCAGCTGAACAGTACTCTCGGACATTTCAACCGACCCACTCTAACTTTATTGACGAAAGCTTCATCTGCAACTGCACCGGACTTTCCGAAGGGAACATAAGAGCCGACTTGGTGTACGGAAAACTGCAGCACTTAAAAGTGACACTTCTTGTCCGGATATGGCCCATTCTGATATATTGAGGGAAGCAGCTTCAATCCGGGTTACATTGTTTAGTGTAATGTTCTCACGCTCGATAAGCCGAGGCACATTACCGGAAATTTGGGAGCTGGATCACATCATATTTAAAAAATCGACATTTTGAGGTCAGGGTTAACTTCAATTTCTCCCAGGCTATGGAATGTTCAATTGGGGTCCTCATGGTCCAGTACTAATATCTCTTCTTTTCAGGAATGCGCTGCTAAGACAGCTTGGTTTGTATATACTAGCTTATCAGTCGAAGAAGCATGGTCTGTATTTAAAGATAAGTTTAGTTTAGTTACGTCTTCGTTCATACCGTACCTGGTACTGCGAAGACCGAATAATAGTCCACTATGGATAACTAAACCAGTCAAGAAACTTCTTAGAAGAAGAAAGAAGCACTGGAATATGTTCATCTATACTGGCTTAGAACAATACAGATCCAGTTATTGTAAGATTGGGAATGCCAGTGAAGCGCTAATAAGTAAAACTAGACGATCATATGAAAACAGTTGGTTAGGGATTCTAGATATAGTCCGAAACGGTTGTTCTCGTATATAAAAAGGCAAACTCAGTGAAGCGATGGAATTTCATCACTTCTGATACAACAAAATAAGTTAATCTTGGCAGAAAATGATACCGAAAAAGCTGAAGCTTTATCGAAATATTTTAGTAAAGTGTTTTCTATCACTAATGAGTAACGACCAACGATTTTTTATGACCGTAACGACTCGCTGATGGATCCTATGGTCATTGAGAAAGGTGCTGATTTAGGGCTACTTCAAACCTTATAAGTCCAGTGGTCCTGATGACATTCATCCTAGCATTATGAAAGCCATATCAGATGTAATTGCTGAACCGTTAGCTATATTGTTTGACATGTCTTTGAGACAGTATATACTGCCCAGAGACTTGAAAAACGCTATAATAAGTCCGGTGTATAAGCCTGGGAGTAGGGATTTAGTTAGTAACTATAGACCCGTTAGCTTAACGAGTGCAGTTGTAAAACTGATGGAAAAAATCATTCGGATATCTGTTATAAACTATATTGAAAGGCATAATCTTTTCTCCAGGGAACAACATGGTTTTCGGAGAGGCCTATCGTGCTTGACAAATCTTCTCATTGCAAGAGAAGATTGGGCTGCTACAAATGATCAGAATATTCCTGTATATGTGATCTTCATAGATCTAAGTAAGGCTTTCGATAAGGTCTCCCACTCTGGTCTTAAATTCAAACTGGAACGCTTTGGAATCCATTGTGCAGTCCCAGATTGGATAAGTAACTTTCTCCATGACAGGAGACAAAGGGTAAGGGTTAATGGAGCTCTTTCCTCGTGGGTACCTGTAAAAAGTGGAGTTCCCCAAGGTACAATCTTCGGTCCTATTCTCTTTTTACTTTATGCGAATGAATTACCAAATGTAGCAAAATCATCCGTTCTACTCTTCGCAGATGACATAAAAAATTTGGAGACCCATACACAGTATGTCGGATAGGATAGTATTTCAGAATGATCTTAGCTCATTGGTGGCATGGTTAGACAGGTGGTCACTTGAAGTAAACTCTAATAAGAGCGTGGTGATGCATTTAAATTGCAATGATGAATCGTATCGCTATGCAATATGTTGATTCGAACTACCCAAAGTAAGAAACTATAAAGATGTGGGAGTCATATTATGTAGTGATCTCAAAACCACTAGTCAGTGTACGGCTTCAGCTGCGAAAGGCTATAGGGTATTATGGTCTATTCGTATGTCTTTCCAGTATTTAGATGATGAAATTTTTAAATTATTGTACCCGATTTGCGTGCGACCACATTTAGAATATGGGATTCAAGCAGCGAGTCCTTGTTTCAAGTATGAAGCAGATATGCTGGAAAGTCCAACGACGAGGTACTAAGATGGTACAAGGTCTATCTGGCCTATCTTATGAAGACAGACTGAGACACCTCAACTTATTTCCGTTATCTTACCGTAGAATACGGGATGATCTAATATTGGCTTATCGTATACTGAACCATGACCTTGGCATTAACATGTCTAACCTTTTACTTCCGTCTAGGACTGATCATTTGAGAGGACACTCGAAAAAAGTTCAAAAACCGAGATCAAATCGTTTACTTCTGGAGTTTTGTTTCTTTCATCGAATAATGAGTTACTGGAATTCTCTACCGGAACACGTAATATCAGCACCTTCATTTGATACATTCAAAATGAGATTGGACCTCCAGAGTATTACAAACTGCAAGGATTAACATAGGTCGATAGACCTCCTATTCTTATTACTGAAGACTGATTTATATAGACGGTCTTCCGCAGAGGATAAAGCAGTCCATCTGAGACATGTTGTAGACTACAGTTACAACTTAGGTGACTTCCCTCTAGAAGTATACCAAATTGAAAAATATTTAGTCATGCTGGTATCCTACGACTAGAAGTCTTACACTAACTGTGACAACAATGCCTTTCAAGCAAACCTTGCACTGGTAACATTAAAGCTCATTTTTGGCCGTTTTGAGGGGAGACCTTCCCAAATAATCTTTAAACGTTTCATTCGTCCCCATTTAGCGTACGGAACCACTCCAAAAGGATACGGACACACTGGAACGTATATAACGGCGAGTCACGAAACCAGTTCGGAGACTCAAATCGAAGTTCTTTCTTATTAGAGTACAGGAGTCCAAGTGATGACCTTCTTATAACTTACAGCATCCTCAACACCCCTTAAACACCTACTTTGGTTTAGCTCCATCACAAACATAAAGATTAACACACAGAAACTGGAGACACAACACAGCAGGACAGACTGTAGACAGAAATTCTACTCCTTAAGAGTTGTCAAATACTGGAATTCGCTTCCGGCTGAACTAGTCCAAACGTTTTCCCAGGAGTTTTTTAAGAGGGATCTTGACGTATTCTTAAGGACTACAGATAATATCTTACTATGATCTACCAACTTCTTTTTTCATCTATTATCGTTAATATACCTAGGTTCCTGCCTGGAGGTATTGGCGATCCATTGCCACTAGACACGGAAGCCTGTTAAGCGAAGGCTTCTTCTATTCCATCCACAACCATTTGGGCAAATTGAACCATTTTATTTTCACTACTCAACCCATTGTTACGTAATGTGTCTTCTCAGTTTTCGTTAGAATAAAGCTTGGATTATATACCCTCGCGCCCTAAAACCTTTTCATACTACCAAGACACGGACTACAAGGACTAAAGTTGCTGTGCAGCCTGCCTAAAAATGTTTGAAGTTTGAATGCTGAAGTCATAACTACGCTAACGTGGGTGTGTTCGAATACCTCCCAACAAATACCATATGGCGACGTACTGATTTTTTTACTGACTCAAACTAGAAATAACTCATAGGAATGTACTTGAGTGTTCTCTCTTTTATTGTAACGTGGCTTTACATAGATTTATATCAGATAATTGACTTACAATTGTCATAAACTTAATTCAAATATTTAATCATCTGTTTGACCTAGTTATTGAAAACCTCGCATACGATATACAACTATTTCCAACGGATAAGAACACTTCGAGAATGAAAGCCTGAAAAGAGCGTATTTAGCATATCCACAATAGACTTCACGGATCTCAATATCCCTATTTTGGAGAACATTTTGTCTGTTTCAGGATAATGGAACAAAAGCCCTGAAACTTCCTTAGGTCTGTGGAAACTTCCTAAGCTTTGGGAAGAAATGCTAGTTGTCGTTGGACATTGGAGAAAACCTCAAAAATTTTCTCAAAATCGGGAGATTGGGATATTAATGTCTTTGTGACAAGCTTGTAAATACCACTTGCTTTCCTTGTTCTCTCATCTCCCTGTTAGATAGCTCTTTTCCTTAAAGTGATCTTTCGCTGTTACCTAGTCAGCAATAGGATTTTTCCAGAACTTTTTTATAATATCAAGTCCTGCGACTTGGTTACTGGTCTTCAGTCTAGTGACAAAGCTAGACATTTTGATTTTAGAGTAACAGGTATGTTTTTCACACACTCTTGATTTTTCAGTCAGAAGCCGTTTATATCTGTAGAGTCTTGAGGTGATCTCGTGTATCTTGCTCTTTAAAATCAATTCTTTTAACCACCAATCCACTGACCTAGATTAATTTTTGAGATCAACATTCACGATCTATTTGATGAAACAAGGGATATTTATGGTAGTGCTCTTTGGAAGTGAAAAGATAAAATAAGGTGAAAACTTTGCCTAGATCAAATCTCCCGAAAACCAAAACGTGCTAAAATTACTACATTTTTGATACATGTTATAGAATATAATAACTTATTGATACTGAAAAATATAACCCATATTATTTGGAACTCAGTAGTTGATATTGATAAAAATATGGGGAATGCCCACTCACGCTACGTGGAGTGAAATCTGTTGTCGATGCACCTGGTAAATACCTATGGGATATATAATTATATACAAAACTGTGCTTAGAAACGTTTCTTTGATGTTTTTAAACTGCAATCATTATATATATATATATATATATATATATATATATATATATATAAAACCGCATTGCTTAGTTTTATCCCACGATTTTAATTATGCAGATATATGGATAAACCATATGACGAAACAGTTGATGTGCCAGATTCCGAAGATATAACAACACCACGATTACAACAGTCTCTTGCCGAAAATTTCGGTAAATTTCGAGGTAATTTTTGATAATTTATGAACATATTTTGTTTTGAGATAAATTGCCTGTTGTTACTTAGCTTGTCCAATACATGAACTGGGTTGGTAAAATTTTGGCAGAACATAAGAAAGCTTGAAGGAAAACGATGAAAAGTTGAGAAATGTCCCGAGATATATCTAGCTGAAAAATAACTCATTGCAAGTTGATTAGGAGCTTAATCAAAGTCCGTGCAGGCTTCTCGAATAATACAATCATAGAACAACCGTTACGCCAACGATTTGCTGGGAATATTAAGAACACGAGGCCTGTTTTGCTTATCGATTACTAGTTCACTGATTAGTGATGAAATGAATTTGGGAAAAATAAGTGAATCAACGAAACAGAGAGAACTTTTAGCTTCTTGCTGCTTTCGAGGATGTTTTAAACAATGCAATTGGAGATAAAACAGGCGTAATAACACGAATCGGCATTATTTTGATAAAGTTAAGACCTGTCAGTGTTCGTTTTTATAAAAATATGTTTTCTGTTGTCATATCTTGTTAGTTAACCGATTACAGACTTAAATGCACTCAGTTTAACCCCAGGAAAGTTCTTAGGTTCTTTTGTATTGTGTGTTGACTCAGGACGAGGACGAACATTTTATTTTTTTTATATAAAAATATACTTACAGTATATTTCGGTTGTAAAATAAAATATTTATAGAACCATATACTCTAGACGATAAATAGTGAGAACATCTTTTTTTCGTCCTTAGGCAAGTCTATTTCAGGGTTAAAAATCACTTCTTGTCCAAAAACGTTTTATTGGACATACCATGAAAGGTTTATGAGGTAAATAACTATCGGCTGCTTAGGATGACTTCAGAAATATAAAACATCTTAGGGTTTTAGAGACCCAAGAAAACTGCTGAAAAAAGTAGGCCTCATCAGTAGTAAAAGGGAGGGATCACAATTGGAATACTAAAAAAAATAATTTCAGTTCAAAACTGCCGAAAACTAATAGCAGTATAGTACGTTTCGCATGTAAACTTTAGGAAATACCACCATTTTCAAGAGGTACTTTGACAAACATAGAGAATAAAAGGTAGCATCCTGTTTAACCACTTCTGATCAAGTGAAACAATACCGTCTTGCATGTTCAAGCAGAAAGTGATTGTTGATTAAAATCACGATATATATATATATATATATATATGTAAGAAAAACAGTAGATCCACTCATTTGCTTCCTGGTTGCTTAGTATTGGTATTTGAAAGAATATTTATGATGAATAATAAGTTTGATAAATAAGATTTCAACTCACTGCCTAAATGAGAACACATAAACCATGCAACATGGAAGCTCAGTAATGATTTCTTTACATAGATCATTGTTATTATTACATACTAGGAGAGAACATATCTGAAGAATGCGATCTCATAATATTTGATTTTTATTATTCGTTTTGACAAAACTTATTTTCTGATGAAGTCCATAGTGATATTGTAATCTTTATAAAGTAAACGATCATATTTGTTATATAAGGAGAATGCTAAAAGACCGTTAAAAACTAAAGTAAACTGAATGACTATTTCGTTCTTGCATGAGACTTCTGAAAAATGAGCACTTATAACGTGAGTCCTGGATTCGACCTCGCATGGTATCAGTTTATCAAGTCACTGACCATTAAACTAAGCCATGCTAGTAGACCCAGACCATCTGTTTGGTATTTGTGCGACTATTGTAACTAGAGGTCGGGGATAACAAGTGGCACGATTTAAAACTGGTGACAATGGTACAAATGAATTGGGTTTTTGTCCTTCTTTAGACCATGAGTTCCAAAAATATTTTGTCCGTTATATTCTGGATTTCTCTTAAACATATCTCTCACGCCTAATATCGTTTTTTAACATCACGCTAACGCTACTGCTATTTATTCTACTTTGGCATTCATTTCGACTCGTGCTGATATAGTGTGGCGTCCTGGACTGATGGACGTTTGTGCTAGGTCCCACTTTGCTTGTGATTGACTGACTGACATTTTGGACATATATCCTTGGAATGTTTAAATTTAGGATGAGCCTGCCGTTCAACCCACTATGGTCTTCATCTGTTCTTCAACAACGGTTTTGTGTGAACATTATATTCTTATTATGATGAATTCTCACAAAATTGCCCAAATAAAAATGTTGCTTTTATTTACCTAATGAAACAAGATACTGAATACAACGTTGATATTTATGGTGAAACTATACCATGCTAACAACCATGGAAGACGTTAGAAGTGACCTATGGAACTTCATGCCCCGTTATTGCCGTGAAAGTAAAGAATCCATAGCTAAAATATGATAGAATCTGGATGTATATGTTAGCTATATATGACACATGGGTGTTCTATAGCTTACAATCGGTTTTCTGTACCTTAGAGAAGATCAATTTTGCTGAGACATTCAAGCGTTCAAGGAATTATTATATATTTAAGTCCTTCTTCAGATCATAAGTAGTCTCTTAAATGTTTTCTCACATTTTCCTGAGTAGTTGTGGACGGAATTCCTGATAGGTTAACGAAATGACACCATGAAACAAAATCACACAGTGACTTTGTAAAATATGAAAATCGTGTATTAAATACATCATTTGCATATCTTTCTTCAGTCGTCCTTTATACACTTCATCATTCTCCCTATCCTGTTGTTATTTTGATGGCTCTTCGTTTCCCTTCCTATTGTTTTATTTTCCATATATCCATCATAAGAAGTATGGGGTAAACATAATTTTTATTTTACACTATGTAGTAGTACAATAAACTCTCCTCAGTTCTAAACGTTCTAAGCAATTCATAAATGACATCTTTAATGACTACAATCTATTCACTTAATCTGTTTCTTTCTTTACTCTTTTTATCTAGTTGATCATTTAGATTCTCATAGAGATAACATTAAATCATTAAGAAAAGTAAAGAATCAATTACTAAATAAATCAATTAAAGTAAGCCATGTCGATTTCCTTTTTTGTGTATCCTTGCGCTTTAATTTGATAAAAAGACGTAACTTTTAAGTAGACATTAAATGCTTTACATTATAACTTTTCGTTATTACTCTACGAGTAAAAACATATTTTAACATTGTTTAATCATATTTGTTTGTAGACCATAATTGTTCTGTAGAGATTTCTTGTAGTTTATAGTAAATTTTTACCTAATCAGCTGAAAAATTGGTAAACAAAGAGGAATATCATACAATCGTTTCATGAATTCGGTAGTAATTAGCCTAGAGATAAACTTTTATCAAGTTCTAACAATAAAATATGACATGTTGTAAGGAATTAAATCAGGAATAAAATAGTATTCCATAGACATCTTTAGGTGAGAATCACTTCTAATTACAAATTGACTGGAATTAAAATTATAGGATACCGAAAAGATCAGTAACTCAAGTAGATGATACCAATTCTGTTTATTTCTCCAGGCTGAATAGTTTAACCATTTTTGTTCTGTATAACAACATTAACGCCTAATTCCAACTCAACTGTCTACTGGCATAACGCGTACAACGACACTTAGTGATTCATCGTTCGACCCCGTAGAGGATCATGAGCAGATAATGCCCAAAAGTTCAGAACTAGAACAAAACACCAATTAAGTACTACTTCGTTTTTGAAGGTTCTGCATCTGATATTATTCTGTGATCTGAACTAATTTCAAATCATTTTTGTTAGTGTAATATTTTATTTCTCTTGCTTTTTCTAACGTTATTAGACTGCATCAAAATCAGTCATTGAAAAGAAGTCAAACAATGAAAAATTAAGTAGTCAAGGTCGGTTTATATACATATATCACTGATTTTTTTAATTGATTGAAATAATGAATAAAGATGGAGTAAATGTAATATTAACTAACAAATAATGAACTACTAATAATTAAAATATAACATTGATATTTTGACAGTTTAACCGAGGAATTTAAGAATCTAAGTTTTATTACTGTTTTATTATCATAAAGAGGTGAAAGTATCAAATCTGTGCCATTATTTTCACATATTAATTACTCTGATTGTTTATATGACCGATATATAAATAAAAAGATTTAAATATGAATATTAACTGGTTAAGGATTCCATAAGATTCGATCACGTACAGACCAAATCGCAACACTACGGATCATGGTGGAACAATCAATTGAATGGAATTCATCACTCTACATCAACTTCATTGACTATGAGAAAGCGTTTGATAGCGTGGACAGGACTACACTATGAAAGTTTCTTCGACACTACAGCGTGCCAGAGAAGATAGTCAATATCATACGGAATTCCTATGACGGATTAAACTGCAAGATCGTTCATGGGGGACAATTGACAGACTCGTTCGAGGTAAAGACCGGTGTCAGGCAAGGTTGCTTACTTTCACTTTTACTCTTTCTCCTGGTGATCGACTGGATCATAGAGACGTCAGCATATGAATGGAAGCATGGGATACAACGGACAGCTAGGATGCAACTGGACGGTCTAGACTTGACAGATGCTCTGGCTCTTCTATCGCAAATGCAACAACAAATGCAGGAGAAGACGAACAGTGTAGCAGCAGCCTCAGCAGCAATAGGTCTCAATATACACAAAGGAAAAAGCAAGATTCTCCGATACAACACAGCATGCAAAAATCCAATCACAATTGACGGAGAAGATTTGGAAGACGTAAAAATCTTTACATATCTGGGAAGCATCATTGATGAACATGGTGGATCTGATACAGACATGAAGGCGTGGATCGGCGAAGCAAGAGCAGCATATTTACAAGTGAAGAACATCTGAAACTCAAAACAACTGTCAACCAACACCAAAGTCAGAATTTTCAATACAAATGTCAATACAATTCTACTGTATGTGGCGAAAACCTGAGGAACTTCGAAAGCCATCATTCAGAAGATACAAGTGTTTGTCAACAGCTGTCTATGCAAAATACTTCGGATCCGTTGGCCAGATACTATTGGCAACAACCTACTATGGGAGAGAACAAACCAGATCCCAGTGTAGGAAGAAATCAGGAAGAAGCGCTGGAAGTGGATAGGACAGACATTGAGGAAAGCACCCAACTGCGTCACAAGACAAGCCCTCACATGGAATCCTCAAGGTCAAAGGAGAAAAGGAATATCAAAGAACACATCACGCCGAGAAATGGAGGCAGATATGAGAAAAATGGACAAAAATTGGATAGAACTAGAAAGGAAGGCCTAGGACAGAGTCGGTTGCAGATTTCTGGTCGGCGGCCTATGCTCCATTGGGAGTAACAAGCGTAAGTAAGTAAATGGGTAATTAATTGGTTAAATAATCCTTAGATTATTTATATCTTCCAGTTTTGTTCATAATAGATTGCTTGTAGGACATAGTTAATTATTTAAATGGTCAATTTCTTATAGTTTGATTTCGACTTGAATTAAGTCATTTGTGTAGGTAACATGTGAAAAAGAAGAAATAAAATGTGTATTTTTAATCTTAACAACAACTTCATATAACTCTTAATAAAGTGAATACAAGATGAGCAGTTAAGTCATTCATTGATTATTAAGTATGGGTAAGTTTTTGTGGTAAACTTAAATTTATAAAATAAAGTGTAATCCAATTATTGAAATAAAAATTTTTTCATCGTAGTTTTAATTTTATTTTTATTGTTTTTAGATAGTTCCGATGATGACGATGATGATGATGACGACGATGATGATGACGATAATGGTGATGATGATGAGGAGGATGAAGATGAAGAAGATGACAATTATGAAAATTCTAATATACCTGATGTCATTGAAGGGTATGTCAAATTTACAAAACAAAGAAAGTGCTATATAGGAATTTATTTATTCGGTGTATCGATAGTCTATAGGTTTTCTTTGTTTATTGAAATACTAATAAACTTTTGAAAAGCAATGAAGAAACTAAATCAAAGTGCAATATTATGCTATAAAAATAACTGATTATTAGTTTCCCTTCGCCAGATATCACTTTAAATAGGAAACAAACTAGAAGGTTTAAGATTTACATCTGTATAACTGATAGATGACTTAGTGGTTAAGACCTTCGAGTCACACTCCACCTACATCGGTTAAGACACGTAGGTAGTATCACTAATCTTCACACGACGAGTGATCCAAAGACAAGTGCACGAATCTAAATTTGTTAAGTTGCATTGTTATCAACCTGGTTGAATGTGACACTTGTTTATAAGTATTCATATATTTTACTGTTATTTTCTGTTTTTATAAAATGTCGGGAACGTTGGATCCATACACTATAACACAAAGTTCTACGCTGTTACACTCCTCTACTCACTTGCTAACTGAATAAGTCAACCAATCAGTTAGTTTGCTAGTCAACCATCCAACCTGTGCTTGATGAAATATGAAAACCGATTAAATCTACTTTGTATTAAAAACAAACTGAGATTATCATCCTTTATTAGAATGAAATGCTAACGAACATTTGGTCAATTTCAATGGTAAAACTATGCAAAAATTGTTTATAGACAAAATGTATAATGAATGAGAACACAAGTGGGGACAATCGAATGTATTTGAAGTCACAATTACAGAATATCTTAGTAAAATATGAGAACCATGAAGTAAATTCTTCATTTGCAAAATGTCAATCAATCGTCTCGAACTTGATTGTTCCTTCACTGCCACACCAATCATTCTCTGTTGTTATTGTCATTTCTTCGATCTCCTTAGCCTTCTGCCTCCAGGTACTCCACTTTCGATTGCTGATACATACCGCTTATATCTGTCGACATCAGTAGCACACACTACAAAACTACTCACTGAACGCTAATTTTCTGTTACATAATGATAAAACTATATTGGAAATGTTAAGAACTAAAAGGATTTTATATTTTCGTCGTGAAAACGAGGAAGTGGTTGTACGAAGAAATATCTCAGTGATTCCGTATTTTCATACTTGAAATAAAATTTCCAAAATATTTAGAAAATAAGTGGCATTTATTTGTAAGTATTTGTATCTTCTCGTTGTTAATATTACGGACTACAGCTGACCAGTCTCCATTGTCATGTATCCATTCTAAGAGGATTCCCTAGATAATATTATTTAATCACATGTTCAATAACGATATACAGTGGAGTCCATGGTGTGCGTTTCGTCTTACATGGAACTCGTCGGCTGATGCATTTGGATCCTGATATTAATGTTCACATTGAAACATGAACCTGGTATCTTTCTCTTTCAACTCCACCATCTCGTCAACTGAGCTATTGAATTCAAATTATAATATTTATTTCATTCTTCTGAACATAATATTTAACCAAACTGTGACTTCATAATATTGGGCAACAATTAAAATAAACGGAATTTCAAGCGAAAAATTCAATTTTATTCTAAAACTTTTGTAGTTATTTGCATAAAAGAGCGAAAAAACCCATGTATGACTACTTATTAGACAGTTATGAGTATATAGGTATCATTACCAAGGTTTGATTTAGTAATTTCGAATAAATTGAGCATTGGGTTGATTGTTATAAATAAATAATATATTTGTAATATCCCAATGAGTAGAAAATTAGATTTTCTGACGTTTCGTGACTTAGTGTAAGTCGCTTCTTCAGAGAATAAATAACCTAATTAAAATTAATCCAAGTTTAAATAGTACAACGGAACAATGCAAGAATAATATTTGATCAATCAAAAACAGGTCTGAACAAGTTGATGTCATGTCATTTTTGTCAAGGTGATTAATAAGTGATATGTATGTAAATTTGTGTGTGTATGTATGTGTGCATTGTTTAAGAATGAAAAATTGTGTGACCTTTATGGTAAGAAAGGATAGAGTTTAAATTTGTAAATACGATCAGACTGAATGGCTAGGACAGATGGTCCAAATAGGATGTATGGTAAGGCCTTCCTTTCTGTTGAGAGAAATAGGATTAAGCATTATATGGAAAGCCTCAGCTATCCTCCTTTCTTTGTAGTTGGAAAAGCCTTTTTGAAATATTTTGATATTTTTAAAATCGATTTGGTGGTTGTTAAAAATGGCATGAACTGCTAATGCCGATTTAATTTGGCTTAGATATGTAGACGATACATTTGTTGTTATAAAAAAGACTCATCTAAGATCTTTTTCAAAACGAATAAATACACTTTCATCGCACACCAAAAATGGCCGTGTATTTAATGTTAACACAGTACGTAGCTCTTTCATAAGTTCTAACGGCGCTCTTCAAGTGATTGAGACGCTACGAGATACAATTTGCTCAAGAATAGGTTATAGGTTTCTGTGACAACGTGGGGAACGACAGAGCTCGTGCTTTGCACCTTACTACCGCCCGTAATTGGAAGAAAATGTGCTCTGTCGTCAGGTCCTGACATTTTATATCAAGTTTAAGAAATAAACGACCAATTATAACGAACTCAAAACTAGCTATTTGATTGGACGGAACAGAATGAAAATTATTGGAAGATGGGAATGAAAAATTTTTTCGAATGGGATGAAAAAAAAGTTTCACTCGAAAAAAAATAAAAAAATGGCCGTGCATTTAATGTTAACCTCACTTATTAATCACCTTGACAAAAATGACATGACATCAACTTGTTAACCGAAATATTCCTATTAAAACAGTTAGTCCCTTTGATAAATTTTGATAATGCAATGAGAAGACGAAGTTTATCAGAATTATGTGATATATGCATTGCGCTAATATATCACATAATTCTGATAAACTTCGTCTTCTCATTGCATTATCAAAATTCCTATTAAAATTTACTAAAATGTACTATTATTATTATAAATAGATTACAATTGTGTTACTAATACATGAACGGTAATCACATTATTTTAAATCTAAAATTATTAGATTAGTGTTCATTAGATGAGATATTGTTCTATAAGATTTCTAAACTTTTATATCTCATAAACCTTATAAAAAAGTTTACGAATACATGAGCAATAATCGCATTATGATTATTAATCTCAAATGAATATCTAAATTCATTTAACACTTAATAATAAGTGTTTCATCATTTGACCTTTGCCATAGAAACAAGAGATGGAAACGAAACAATTTAAATCAAATTGTGGGTGGCCCTGAATAGGGCCTTTACTCGTTCTCTTATTAATGCAGATGTAGCTGTATAAGGGTGTAACTATGAGTTGGTTATGGCGCCACACATCGGACAGTTAACTGCACGTATGTTTGGTGATGGGTCGTAAGCACAAAACCGATGAAACATTGCTTCGCAAAGACAAAAAACCCAAGCAGCTGCATCGCCAGTTTCATATGGAGGCTGTGTAAGATGACATATATCACACAAACGGTTGTAGTAATGCTGTTCTTCATATTCCATATCCCGTTCCGTGAACTCTTCGGAGTTAATAGAAAGTACTTCCTCCTCGTCGTTACTGAACGTTTCATCCAAATCCACATTACCGTCGTAGTTCGGCACTGAGTTATCATTCATCATGGGCACTGGGACGTGCGTGGAAGTGCTTGGTTCGGTGTGCAAATGCGGTTCTGCAGACAAGTTCAACGGCGTTGGTGGCATCCTACCGTGAACCAGTTGATAAAGATGGTTATATACTGAACTGCATTGTTCCTCAGACAGTCGCCTTACTAAGGCATGCACCGAATTCCTGAGGCTTGGCTGTCTTGATTGCACTGGGAAGTAATTCTCAATCGCAATATGTGTTAGAGAAATCTCCAACTGTAACCACCTGTCACAAATTGACTGTACGTTCACATCAGTATTACTGTGTGCGCAGTAGGCCAAAATGTGACGACATGGCATTCCGTTTTCAATATTAAAAGTACACGAACACTGAAAGGTATTGCGGTTGACTGTGTAAGTGCCGGTTGCGTCCACAGCCGTGAAGATATCAACAGACATTACGAACTCAGTTATCGGAGTGCGCAAGTGTCGCTTCAGTATTTGACATGCAGCTGGTGACAGTCGTTCCTGAAGTCGACGTATCCGTAGCCCCCTACCAATAATCGCTTTATTCCGACAGTCCGATGTATACTTTTGCATTCGTGCTTCCATCCAATATCCAGTGCGAAGTAGCACACTAAATATAGATCTCAACACAGGTGTTTTTCGATTCAGCTTATGCCTCTTCAAAATTCCATGAGTTGTCTCAACGAAGTTGGTATTATCTTGTTGAAGTAGCGTTGCTGATGGTCGAAAAGCAGTAGACCATTTTTGTTTTCTCGGCAGTAAGTGGTCTCTTACATATCGAAAAAACGTTTCGTCGGATATTTCGATCAACGACAAATAACTGTTAAAACTACAAAATAATGTTATGAAGATTTTCATTTACCTTTCAACAGCCCGAGTGAACATCAGCCGAAAAAGCAGTTGTATCACTTCTGATCGTACTCTCTATAATGACGGTAAATGGGTCAATGTTAAGGAACAAAACACGTACCCTCTTAATGACATTGCGAATTAAGTGTACACGACACAAAATGTGGTGAACATTTGGATACACCTGCGTGATGGCAGCAGCTATTGCTGGTGAATCATCTGTCACAATGCCTACCACCTGTCGATTGTTTGTTGACCGTTGAAAGAACGATAGGAATCGAGAAATCAAAGTCGATGTTTCGCGACTTATAAATGCAATACAAACAGGTATTGCCATAAAATTCATATCAATGGCTACTACCTGATATAAATATACGTTCTCGTTATTTGTTTTGTACGTCCCGTCGAAACCAACAACATCTAAAAAACGAGCGGCCAAATTCATTTGATCAGCAGTGGTGAAGAAAAAATACGATAGACAATTTTCTTCGTCTAATTCGTAATCGCAAAGCCCACCTAAGGATATTATGTGAGCTTTTAATTTGGCGTAATCACCTATCGTTTACATTATAAATAGGCAGACTGCTTACCAGGAAGGTTGGCGTGTGAGAACACTTTGTACCGCATATTAAATATATCTTGAGCATTCAAACGCTTTCCATAAGAATGGTAAGCAAAGTGCTTAATATCGAATGCTGCTGTCCCAGATATCAGGAGCGGTCGTACGGTTTCAAACTCAGCCTCCGTTAACCTGCGCACCCAAGAATTACTGTCGTACCTCAAGGAATTGCACTCGTGATTGTGACTCACATTCCCCCGTACAACAATCCAGTAACCTTCTATAAACTTACAAAATATGAAGGCCGGACAGTGAGTGTTCATGAAAGTCCTTCGTGAAAAAAAATGTAATAACACTAATCAATTAACCTCCTCCGTCTAATCGGCTGTGACGAACCGCTAGATCTTCTACGGCCATTTCTCCAACATACAAATTTAATATACGATTTCTGATCTCTGTCCGAATGAGAATCTCTCACCACATAATGACAGTACGTAGATCTTTCATAAGTTCTGATAGCCGACTTTAACGCTTCAACTGATTGGAACGCAACGAGAAACAATGTAGTCAAAAATACATCCTCCGTTTCTGTGACAACGTGAGAAACAACAGCTCTTGTACATGGCACGTCACTCTCCTCCATTATGATGATGAAAATGTACTTTTTCGACGAGTGCTGACATTTTATAACACTTTCAAGACATAACTAACCAATTATAACGAACTTAAAACTAGCAATTTAATTGGACGAAACGTGGTGAAAAATTTTGGAAAATGGGCTGAAAAATTTTTTAAAGGGGTGAAAAAAAAATTTATCAAAAAAAATTAAAAAAAGAGCCGGTCGCTGAATGTTATTCACATCAACTTGTTCAGACCTGTTTTTGATTGATCAAATATTATTCTTGCATTGTTCCGTTGTACTATTTAAACTTGGATTAATTTTAATTAGGTTATTTATTCTCTGAAGAAGCGACTTACACTAAGTCACGAAACGTCAGAAAATCTAATTTTCTACTCATTGGGATATTACAAATATATTATTTAGTTATGAGTATATGGTGATAATAACTGAAGTTGACAAGAATTTTCTCCTGACCAAATATTTTCATCGTTCTTTTTAGTGTCTACAATCCGGCCGATTTTGAACATTTGACTGTATCGTCTGAAATTAAAGAAATTTTTGAATATATCCAAAGGTAAGTTCGAACACATAAATATATAAATAAGTATTCCCTTATAAAAATATAAAATTACATTAATCTAAATGTGTATTTTATTTTTTTCCTATCTTTCTAATAATGAATATGTTTTTTGTTATAACTCGATGAGGAGAAAAATTGTATGAACTCTAAAGAATTGACTTATATTAAGTCACGAAACGTCAGAAATAAAATATTTCTACTCAGTGGAATAGAACAAAAAAATTAAACTACATGAAATTATCAAGTTCAGCCTTAGCATTACGGACTACAGCTGACCAGTCTCCATTGGCATGTAATCATTCTGAGCGGATTCCCCAAATAATATTGTTTAGTCACATGTTCAGTAGCGGTATACAGTGGAATCCAGGGTGTGTGGGGGTGTTGTTTACGAAATTAAAAGCATGAAAAGCGAATGTCCGGCGCTTTGACCGGGTTGGTGGACACGGAAGATCCACCTGGGAAAGTTTGGAAAATCCTAATTCCAAGCCAATGGTGCACATGGGTTCCAGTATCCTGAAGGAGCAAATGGCGTATGAACCTGTTGTTGGTGACCGACTACCATGAGACTGCATCTCCTGACATTGCTCCCCTACCTTGTGAATCAAACCTTTAGGTTGAAGGCTCTGGGTGTGGCCCCCTAAGAAAACCAGCTGTTTCGGTCTGGGCACCCAAGAAGTGTCACAGCACACACACAAATCAAGTGACTTGTGTGGCGCATAAGTATTCGGTGCCTCCTTGTACCAGTGTTTATGTGTTTAAATAAATAATACCTTAGCATTGATACCTGCAAGCTTCTATTGTTTTTTTTCCCAACTTAGATATACACCTCAAACAATCGAATTAGAAACTAAGTTGAAACCATTCATTCCTGATTATATACCAGCTGTCGGAGATATTGATGCATTTTTAAAAGTTAGTTGTTGCTTTCAAACAATATTTCAGATAAATCCTGTTACTAAAATAGTTTATAATTCTCAAAGCAAATAAGTGAATGGTTTAAACTAATTGTATAATTCTAACTGAAACATCTTTCATTCAGATTACTTATGTTATAATAATGCGTAAGGAGATTGTGTGTAAATACAGCAAGAGTTGGTTATTTTCATCAGTATGTACCCTAGTGAATACAATAACCAAATGATGATTACTGCCAAATATCGAATTGATGACATAAGATTGCCGAATGAGTGAATATATGAAGATACTAACTGTTAAACAAACTATTGCTTTATATTTATTTTTCTTTTAAGGCGTAGATTCAAGCAGTTACTGTTGAACAATCAAATTCTTAAATAATACAGAAGTGACTTGATAATGAATATCAAGCAGAATAAAATTTTGTTTTCCCTACGGATTAATTTTTATCCATCTAAGGTATTAAACTTCTTTATTGGTTTTTACCACTTGGACTAACATTAAGCGTATAAATGTGACTTATTGTGTTATTTTCCAATGTTCATAATATTTTTGCTTCTCTACTTATGCAGTGAAAAGTAAGCTCCATACGTCAAATCTTTCAGCTTCATTTGTTTTTATTTCATACATAATCAGATTCACAATTCTGTTATTAAATAGTTTGTTTAAAAATGTATGAATAATTTCAGAAACAGTGTACATTCTGACTTCGTATATTTAGATCTTTTTAACAATCTATTAGTGGATAATGTGAGACTATAATTTTTGGACGAGCCAATCAAGTATAAATGGTTTCAGATTTTTAGCGCGAAATTCACTCATCCATTTGGCTAAATAGAGTTTTGGCATTATAACTGATGTCAGTTCGTGATGAAGACCTAAAATTTAATTCCTAACTATGATCATCAACTGTAAATTATAATTATAATTCCTCACACAGGTTTATAACCCTCATTTGGTCCTGGTTATTGAGTGGACATTCTCAAGGTCAGTCTAGCGTCACTCATAGGTCGTCCATAAATTACAGTCTCACTGCTGATAATTCACATGATTTTAATAAATTTCTATCAACTATAAATTATTTTTTAACATCTTAACTGATGTTTTTAAATACACATTTTAATTCTACCGAAATAGGTGCCCAGACCAGATGGTAAACCAGATTATTTAGGTTTATCGGTCTTGGATGAACCATGTGCTAATCAGTCAGATCCGACAGTACTTAATTTACAATTGAGAGCTTTGTCAAAGCAAACTGCAACAAAACAAGTAGTAAGTTCTGTGCGTATTTTTTAGTAAAATAGTTTCATTGAATTATGATATATCCCGACAAGAATAATGAATGGTAACTGTCGGGATCTATTTATGGACTAATACAATACATGTATATTTATTTCAATAGTTGAAATCATGAATCAATTGAAGCTAGACCACCATGGAAAACCAGGGAGCACTGGACGGCCGTTTCGTCCTAGTATGGGATTCCTCAGCAGTGCGCATCCATGAGCACGCCCCCCGCGCGATTCGAACCCAGGACCGTCACCATTGTCTTCAGTGAGCTGACGGTGGCGCAACTTCGTGGATTGGTTGAAGTTAGACATTAACACCGTTGGATGCCGGCTCAGTGGTCTAGTTGGTTAAGCGCCTGGAGCGAGACTGATAGGTCCTGGGTTCGAATCCCGTGGGGGGCGTGCTCATGGATACGCACTGCTGAGGAATCCCCTACTAGGACGAAACGGCCGACCAGTGCTCCCAGGTTTTCCATGGTGGTCTAGCTTCAATTGATTCATGATTCCAACTATTGAAATTACCAATTCTCCACAAAACCCCTTCTAGTAATATATATTTATTGTATAATTGTTAGTTAACTAAACTATGTATATTCATATCCCACTTATTATAAGCTCTATTTTGACGTACAGACTATCATTATACGATTTGTTATTCTTAAGTTACGCCCAGTTTATTAATTACAGTCTCCCACATTCACAGCCACTTTTGGCTATATCTTGCACAAGTGTTATTTTCTATTTTATTGTGCGATGTATTCTGTTTGGTTTGTATATAAACCCAGTATGTTTGAAATACATGGTTCATATCACGGAGGCTGAGATTGGTGTTCTGGACTTAACAAGCAGGGCCAGGCGAGAAGGACCGATAGGGACTCTAGATTGCTCGTACGAGTTTATGCGACAATGGTTCGGTCGATAAGTCACTGTTCTCCAGTCGGCGGTATCATTACGTTACATATTTATGGGGCACAAGGCCAGAAGTTATAACAAATTATTTTCTTGGTATTCAGATTTTAAACCAATTACCCATAGAGCTATTGTTTAATATTTAATTTATCATTTACTTATGGGCTTTTTGGAGGTTGTAATGGTTTGAAGATAGTGTTTTGAAATAAATTGAAATATCAATACTGGGGTAGTGGGAGTTTTTGAGTTGTATTGAGATCATAGACTTATTTAAGTTAGACAACCATTGAAAACCTGAAAAAAATCGGACAACTGTCTCATCTTACTATAATACCATATTGGTTCGAATCCAGTACCTTTGAATCTCCAGAGAACATGAGGTCTTCGTCTAATAATTGAGAACTTAATAACTTATATTCTTTCAACTTCTAATAATTCATTTCACATTATCAGTAATGAAGTTTCTGATTGTCATCAATAATAAATATGTCAGTTTTCTAGACTAATTCACTGGAATTACTAGGATGTTTTATGACCGTGAATCTGACATCACTGTTTACCGATGCTCCACTCAGGGAGAATGTTGAATTTATCTGTGAACAACTTACAGAAGTGGGAATAGAGACTACAATCCATGTGGATATCGTTAAGAAATGATTACTATAATGTACTACGAACATTAGCTTCATATTCGATGGCGAAATATATAGATAAATAGATGGTTGCGACGGGCTCACCACTAAGTCCCATGTTAACTGACATTTTTCTCACTAAACTAGAAAACGGTCCATTGACACAGGACAAGTCTTCCTTTCACTGTTGATATATAGACGATAATTTCATCCTTTTTAACGACCATACTAACCGGATAAAGATACTCAAACGATTTGATGAAATTCATCCGTTTATTAAATTCACATGTGAGGGAGAAAATAGAGGTAGAATAGCTTTTCTAAATGTATTGCTTACGAAGAGAATAGATCAGTCACTGAGACGAAACTTAAACGAAAAAACTACTTGGGTTGATCAATATACACATGTCCTAAGTTGTATTCCACTACAATATAAAAGGAACCTGGTTAAAACACTTTATTATAGAATCAAGACCATATACTCCCTAGATGTGGCTGAAGAAAAAACAAAGGCATTGTATACTACTCAAAAATATTATTATATTATGGTATTACTAAATATGAATATATTCATAACATCCATAAAAGCATGGAGCCGTAAATCAGCTTAATAAAATATCAAGAAAAAGCAATAAGAAAATTGTATTTTTAATGACTATCAAAACAAAGGATATACAGTATGAAAAGAGCAAACAATTAGATTGGTATATATATATATATATATATATATATATATATATATATATATATATATATATATATATATAGTTTTGTTTTGTCGAGTCGTCAATTATCTTATAAGGTTAATGAATGTTTTTATGAGGTAGTGCTAATTTATAACGAAATCTCAGCTAATAACATTTAAAATTGAAAAAGTAATACGCAGTAGTCTTTTTTCAGTTTACTTTTAGATAATAAGAAACCATGAGTCGTAGTTTTAGTTGATTTTTCTTGTTTGTTTTTTTTTTCAACAAAAAAAAACAAACTCTAGATAGTTAAAAGTCTTGAAAACGCTGAACAACAAACAAAGGTCATAGAAAATTGGATTAAAAGTATAACAGATTTGTATAGAGCCAAACCTGCACCAACTGTACACTATACAAGGTGAGTAGATTATATATATAGTAGATGTGCTCACAACATAATATTTATTGGTTAGTTTAAATCAAATCCAACATTATTTTTCTTAAAATTGATTTATTCCCTGTTTTACAGAAACATGCCAGAAATATCTGAACTTATGGCCGTATGGCCAACATCTTTTGAAGAAACCATAAATAATATGGACTTGTCACTTTCTCAGTTGGATTGTAGTTTAAAAGATTACGTAGATATAATCTGTGGTATGTGTAACATAATTATGAATAATGATCTTATGTTTCTTTCCATGTGAAATTTCTCTAACCTGTTGTTACTTAAAGATTTTCATGCAACCATAATACTACACTTAAGATTCATTGACACTTATAAATAAACGAACAGAATATTGTAGAATGTATGATATAATTGTATCGGTTCAAAATATGCAAAAAAATCTGATCATTACAAAAAAAAGCAAAAGTGAAAATCAACAAAAGGTGAAATATAAGCAAATATATAAAGATTCCAAGTATTAGACAAATGATTATGTATAGAGAAACAATATGTTGAAGAGTTTAAGGAAAGATGGAAAAGAATAATGTATCACTTGATTAATTTGATTTTAACTTATTTCATTTGAGCTGTTCAGTCTTTAATAGATTAAGAATTGCAGTTAAGTTGTACACACTGTTTACAAAGCTCATAAAAAAAATTCATGATTTCACAAATGAGTAGTATATTTAGCTTTGATCCTTCTGGAATTTATTCTTCTCTTCACCTAATGCGGATAGTGTTGCATATCAAGATAGGAGCTACCACGGTATGCGTAAAATATGTACAGAACACTGCTGTCACTTTAAGTTTACACCCTCAAGTACAGAGATTATAACATGTCAATCCGAACTAGTTAAATTATCAATACCACTAACAAGTACACTTCCATAGTAGCTGTGTTCTTATCTCAACCAATCAAATGCGATACAGTCATAATGTACCCATCTGCACAATAAATCGTTTGTTGAACGTATTTACTCATTATTGTGATCAGTTTTACAAATGAAATAATTTTTTTATCATGTCAGTTTGTGAAGATTATTCAACTTATTTTACGTGATGAACTGACTTTAATTAGATAATCAGACTCATGAAGTAATAGACGGTTGTTTCATCCTAGTATGGGGCTCTTTAGCGCCACACTTTCAAGGATCTTCACCCGCGAACCGAATCTAGAACTGTCAGGTCTCACGGAGAGTGGTTAACCTCATTCGACGTTCAGTGATTTACGCTTCTATTGTTAGTCTGTTCATGGTAATGCTCAACCATCACTCATTGTTACGGATAATATTGGCTAAAGGTCAAGCATTCGCCGTGAGGTTAACAAGTCCTGAATGCAATTTATGATGTTGTGAATATGCACTTTTGATGAATCCCATACTAGAACTTAAACAGCTGTGCAGTCTTCCTTAGGTTTCTACTGAATGCATTTCATGATGTAAACTAAAATTCAATTCAGTTATGAACATGATCTCTTGAAGGATTATAATAACACAATTTTTTACCCGTATGATTTTTCATAGTCTTTATTTTTAAAATTCTAGCTATTTGTATGAACTAGCAACTTCTACAGTTTATATTCGTGGAGGTTTGATTGGGACAGACATTTAAAGATCCATTCCAACTGGACTCGTTTACAGATATAGATAACATCAAAACTGTTTACAGAATGTACAAAAAATTGATAGTGTTTATTTATTGTTTCATTTGATAATCTATCATAATAGTCTAATAGTTGAATTAGATTCATTTATTTCTTAACGAATATCTCTTTCTTTTCCTATTAATCTTCCATCTTTTTAAAGCACTTCTAGACATTCCAGTTTACAATAATCGAATACATTCCTTACATTTATTATTTTCGTTATATTTGGAATTTAAAAATTCTCAAGTAAGTTAAAACATTTTTAGAATTTCATGTGGTGCTCAAAAATTTCCTGGTTATATCCCTCAATTGAGGAAATAATCTAATGTAGATAAAAAGACCTCGGATTTATACTGCTTTTTATGGCACTATAACGCCTGGTGTTATTATGCAACTACGTGAATTATAATGAATGGAGTTTATATTGAACCTGCTAACACTATTGAACCACTGCTCCAAATGACGGATTCTCTCGAATTCCCATTGAACTTGCAGCAGAAAGTGACATCATTGTTAGTCAATAAAATTAAGTACTTAGCTATGTATATAATGATTGGTAGATTTCAGTAAATACATAATGTAACAATGTCGCTTATTGATGTTCATTTTCATTTCGTAACATACATTGCGCAATCACCATTTCCAATGAGATGCAACTAATGTACATAAAATATGCAAAATATTTGTAGCTAATTCCAACTTATAATTGTTGTTTTAAGGTGTACATCACATGTTCAATAAGATAAAATTGTAATCAATTCAAAATGTTACTAATTAAGAAAGTTATACTTTGAGTTACCTTCAGTTAACATGATCATTTCATTAACTAGAACTATTTTCATTCACTCACAAATAAATATCTGTTGTTTTTTGTTGTTGTTAACAGCATTTCCGTCAAAATGAATCCGTTATTACTTGATGTAATTACGAAATAGCAATGGTTATTACTGTTAAGTACCTTTGTACCTGTGAATATATGAATATAATTTTTACGAATTGTTTTGCATTTTACTTTGGATAATTTTTTTCTATTTTAGCACATAGTTTTAATTTAGCATCGGATATAAGTGCATTATGTTTTATTCAACTACAGAGAAGTACATAAATATATATGCTGGAACGATTGCAGTAGGTAAAACAAATTGTATGTGTTGAACGCCAATTATAAGAAGTCATTATTTTAGTACCAGATAAATAATCAAATTAACTGTTTGAGGCTAGAATCTACGTAAATTGACGCCATACAAAATATCTTACGATTGACTACTGAATTGGAAAAGTGAAGATTGGCAATAACTACAATATCCAATATTTCTCAAAATAATTCTCCGTAACCATGAAAAACCATTTAGAAAACGCTTGCCACGAATCTATATAAGTAGTGAGAGTTAATATCCGAAGCGTCAAATATTCCAAATTGATAACTTTGTCTTTCTCCAGTAAATTCAAGTATCTTGGAAACGCAGTAGAATTGATCACTAATAGACTGTTCCAAATGATTTCAAAACACTTGAAAATTTAGGCGTAGATTCAGTTAAAATTTAAACATAATGACTGAACAGTATAACAAAATATGAATGAACCCATTAATAGAAGTAATTTGAGTACAAAAATAAAACTATAACATACTGCTATCAAGAAGACACTTTTAAAAAGCAACATGTGAAATGCTACTAGAACAAGTTTTTATGTGGCACTATAAAGAAATTATCAGAATGAAAATGAAGCTGCCCAATTACTACCACTTGACAACAATTTATTTATGCATCATTTTTGAGATGGCAATCATTATGGAGATGAGATCTGAAAGAGCTCACTGCAGGTTGTCAACCGTTAACAAGAAAGTTGTTATGTAAAAACAAGATTGTGAACAATAATTTAGGGCACCCTGTTTGGCTTAAAATGCATTAATTCAATCAACAGATCTGTGACAAATTAATCTTAAAGGTTGTTACTACTTTAAATTGACATTAACCAAGAAGTATTAGATATATGTTTGTTCTTAATTAAAAATTCAGAGAGAATTTAAAATTGGAACTCAGTGAGTGATGAAATGTTCAATGTTCGTAAATTCATTAGATCCTTAAAATATGTACGTAAGTATTTATCATCTTCATAGCTTGTATATCTGCTAAACGCTTTAAGCGTAACATTGTTGATACAGTTAGTACATTTAAACATACGTTATTTAGATATTATTTCAGTCAGTCAGATATCTACAATGTAGGGCCAGGCATGCATATGCATCGGTTCAAGTTGCCGTACCTCAATAGCACAGCAAGATGAACATTGAATTCATAGAAGTAGTTAATTTAATGGTGGTAATATACAAAAGAAAGATTGCATATAAGCATATGATACCCAGAGAAACAATCAGTTCATAGAAAGGTAAAAAGTAATTTTGATCTCACAGTAAACCTTTTAATAGGAAAGAAATTATAATCACAATTACAAGGTAACAAATAAAGAGAGCAAAAGAAAATAATATTTAAATTGATCAATACTCCTTGAATCAACATTTCTCTATTTATTTGTCATATTCATATTCTTTCAATTTTATAGCATAATCCAAAAATAATTCAGATAAATGTATAGCTAGTTCTGATATGCCAGAAACATTTTCTAAATTAGTTAAAATAGCTACATTAATTGGGGGAATATTGGCTGCTTTTATTCGAACATCTACTGGATATATTTTATTCACTGGAGATATTATCACAGTGTTATTGTGTACAGATGAAATGAAATTATGATTATTATCCGTAGTAGAAAAAGTGTTTCGCTCATCTGTCTTATTAGGAATATTATCATTATTACATAACAAAGGAAGACTAAGAAGAAGAACAGTTGTACCACCCACCGCACCACCTGTATGCAATGCATATAATCGATCAGGGTAGCCATTTTCTTTAGTTGCTGGATCACCTGAACGTCTGGAAGAAGAAAAAAAAACTCCACACATATAAAGCGTATTAACAACAAGGAATAAAACATTTATTAGCCTAAGCCGTGTGTAGTGCTTTGAATGAGTGGATAAGTGTTTATCGATTAGATCATTTGTTTGAACTCTGATACAACCTTTCAAGAATTAAGTAGTCAGTTAATTCTATTACCTAGTGCATATAGTAAATAGAAACTTACCGCAAAATATATTATGTTGAATGTATTTTCCTAATGGTGTTTTCACTTTATGTTGGATAGAATAGTGTTTAGACATGTTTATAGTTGGAATCTACACATACTACCGGTTTAGACGACTCCAATTTCATTGAAATTCTGATGTTTATGTAAGGTGATCTCCTTAGTAGACTAAGTGTTTGGCATACAAATATGAAGAGCTTGTTTTTCTATCAGTTCGATACAATTTAACACTTTTATGCTAACAGATAATGTAATCTCATATCTTGGTTATAACATTAATCAATTCAAATACTAATCTATTGAGATAATAATATTTATCGCTTGTTTATCAGTTCTATTTCTTATCAAAGTAATTTCTTCTTTCAAACCAGTTGAAATTTCGATAGATGACAATTCATAATTGTGAAGTTAGAAAGGTATTTAACGATATACTCTATACTGAACAGTTTATGTAAAACGAGAAAGTTCACTAGTCAAACAGATGAATTGTGCTTTTTAACAGTGGCGGAATGATGCATGGTTGTATATTTACTAACACTTTATAAACACGAAATATTTTTAAAAGCCCCCGAATACCCTGGTACGGCTGAGGGTGGGGAGAGTTAGCTCTCCCTCTCGAAGTGCTCTCACATGGCCGCGCGTATACAGCCACTGCCAGGGAAATCCTACTAACTACCTCCTCGTGACGGTATTGTTGTTTACGAAAGTGAAAGGATGAAAAGCGAATGTCCGACGCTTTGACCGGGTTGGTGGACACGGAAGATCCACCTGGGAAAGTTTGGAAAATCCTAATTCCAAGCCAATGGTGCACATGGGTTCCAGTATCCTGAAGGAGCAAATGGCGTATGAACCTGTTGTTGGTGACCGACTACCATGAAACTGCATCTCCTGACATTGCTCCCCTACCTTGTGAATCAAACCTTTAGGTTGAAGGCTCTGGGTGTGGCCCCCTAAGAAAACCAGCTGTTTCGGTCTGGGCACCCAAGAAGTGTCACAGCACACACACAAATCAAGTGACTTGTGTGGCGCATAAGTATTCGGTGCCCCTTTGTACCAACATTTATGTGTTCAAATAAATAAATAAATAAATTTAAAAGCAACTTTGAGATGCAAGTACATCCAGCTGACGAGTCCCAAATAGGACGAAACGCACGTCCTGGATTCCACTGCTAACCACTATCCATCTTTGCTTATAAAAGCTTGTGAATTAAGGCAACATCGAGGTATACGCACAGTATGCACATATACCAATAACAGACTGATCAGTTGCAGTCTTAAACCTCAATGGGAAGATACAAGCAAAACAATACCAAGTGAATTTAAAAGCAAGCACATATTAAAAAAGAGAATCTTAAAGCATTGTAATAATTACATTCGCACAGCGATCTCAAAAGGAATTATACATATTGTGTCATTTAATTTAATGGTGATGAATAATTTACCGGTTAAATATTTAACTATGTTGGAAATCATTTTGATTATTTCAAGTTTATTCAATTCTACTGTGAAATATTGCCTTAGAACAAAATAATTTGTACACAAACATCATTTAAATAATACAGAATTAAGAGAAATGACGAAATAAAAAATTGTTATGAAACTTACCTGGCTAAAAACCAACCCAGTCCAGGTAATGTACTTCGATCTGGTGGTACACAAGAAACTTTCCATAATAATTGGCTCAAAGTAGATTGTTTAACAATTCCATAGGATTCAAGCCAACCCATATAAATAAATGCTAGATGATCAGCTAAGCGAATTAGATCACTAGCTGTAGAAAGAATACCTCCACCAGCCCATTTATATGAATTATCAATTGTGGGAGTGTTTGTAAGTATGCCTTTATCGGAACGACAATACTGACTTGGAAAAGATAAAGTAATTTCATTTAAAATAGAAATCAGTAAAAATTGATTATCGACTCACTGGTAATAATTAGAATACAATGCTGTGTAATTTTGTGGAAAAATTTATTTCAATCTGATATGAATGCTAGATCCTCAGGAATCAGTTGGTAAACGTCTTATTTTCATAACTTTATTTTAGAAATTCGAACTTCTCTTTTTCGCACTAAAAGCGCCCATATTTACCCACAGATTATGTTTCCCGCTTGGCAGGACCTTGAATATCATTGGTCTGTTCCCTCTTTTAATACGCCAATTTTTGATATTTCCCTAGGACATTTTTATACTGTATATATACGCCGACCGTAGCTGCTATCTTGACGTGGTGGTCGGGCTTGCCTATCGTGATGACCCAACCGAGCTATATTGGCTGGAACACATGTTTCTGCAGGTTCTACCATGCCAGGCAGGTCGATTGGAGAACGGTAAGACTAAAAGCAGCAACTCAAGGTCTGAGGGCGAAGTCGTACTGCTGACTGTACCGAGGTGTGACAGCAGTAAGGTGTTTCCCTCGGACAATCAGCATCTGCAGCAATGCTGCCTTCTCACAAGGAAGGGAGGGGTTAGAAAAGGTTGACCCTAAAAATGTCACACCTCACCTTACCCCACGGATTTCCGTCTCCGGCGGTAAGGCCGTTTGAAGAACGGAGCTAACACATTAAACATGTCCCACAAAAAGGCCGTGTGCAACCGGCCTCAAGCAGCTATCCCTTGGACTCTGTGGTCACGCTCCCAGGTCGTTAAGACCAACACTAATTCGATTTCCTTTTCAGGTTCCTCAAGAAATACCCTTCCACGGTGTGGGCAGCCGGGAAGTGACATCAGCCCTCATACCCGTAACAACACACGAGACCACGTTGGTCA